AGGGACACAGCTTCAGCTTATGGAACCTCTGCCAGTTAAAATGGTGTTCATGTGGCATCGGTTCTGGGAAAATCACTTCATAGAGACGGCTTTCCAAGTGGTTTTAAAATTTATCCTTCTATTGAAGTTTTTAGGCCAATTATGTATGTTGACTAAATTTACAAATAAACTTGTTTATTCAACTAAGTGTCAAAAACCTAAATTGAATGCAGAGCTTTAATAGTCATTGTCTAGGTTCTTTTAAGTTTAGCTTATTTCAAGTTTTGCTTGATAGACAAAAGCAGTATTTGCAAGAATAATTCTACAAAGCGTGTAAACAGCCCTTTAGAGGCTTTATAAAAATGCTATGACAAGATATTTGCAGTGTGGACCTACCGCTAAAAGGCTTCCCTGCCTCCCCCATATCTGTCAAGGAAAGAAAATTTAATTCTAGAACTCAAATTTGGGGTTTGTTCCTGAACCTATTTGTGAAGAACGTTTATAGATGTTTTCTTAATTTTTTAACTGAAGGCTAAGTGTGTTACGAAACTTTGTTTTTTAACATCAGCATGAATCAGCCATAGCTGTAGGTGTACATATGTCCCCTCCCAGTGTAGATTTCTTTATACAGCAAGTTATTTTATAGCAAGTGCCCACAGGTGTAGAACTCATTTTAAGTCCAAGCTGCCTGTTCAGTGTGAAACTAGTGTTCCTAGCCAGTGATGGCTACCAGTTAAGTGTTAATATGGACACAAGAACCACCAAGTCAGACAAAAGCATTCTGTATAATTTGAAGTCAGTGGCTATAAAAAGATACTTGCACTCTGATACAGTTCAGTGGGATTTAAGTTTGGACTAGTTTCAAATATTAAGGGTTAAGGGGTTCCATTGGAAAGCATCGAGTTAAAAGGGTTGAGAATTGATAGGTTTTTTTGAGATGCCAAAAGTGGAATCTCTTAATAAAAATAAACTGGTTTCCTAGAAGGTCCATCATAAGGAGTTCTCGGACAGTTGATTCACTGCGTTCCTGAAGGATGTTGAAATCCTAGCCAGTGGAATGTGTGGTGGGAACCCTGGCCAGTGGTGGCGAGTCTCCTTGAGTACCACTCAAGTGGCTGACGCTTGAACTTGCCTGAAGTCTGCATCCTGAGGTTGAATTTTATTGGGCAACTTGGAATCTGCTGTGTAAATAGTAGAGCTTGCGCTTCCAGAGTTTATTTTTAACCCAGAAGGCAAAAAAAGTACTTTCTGGTTAGGAAACTTCCCATATGTTATATCCCTGGGTTTAGGTAGTATGAAAAAAGCAAAAATAAAGTTTTTAAAGTTTAGACTTTCTTATCTTTATGGTCTTCATTTGGATGAGTTTTTTCACAAAATTTTCTCTGGGGAAATATTCAGCTCTCCCCAATAGTGGTATGGGACTCCCCCGTCTGGCCTCTTGCAAGCACTGCTTCTTGCCTGGTGTTGGGTGTTGATGCTGGGACCTGTGCTTCAATTGGAGAGCAGGCCCCTTCTGGATCACCTTCAAGTAGGGCAGCTGAGGGTAGAGTGGGCCCTGTCAGCTGTCATTGGATCAGCAGGAAACTGGGCTTGCCCTGAAGTTTCTACAGGCAATGGCCAGCCTGTACACGGGAACGGGAACAACAGCAGGTCAGCAATCTGCCTCAGGCTTACGGCCAACCTCATGGAGAAGGGTAAGTTTTTGCACGCTCTCTGTGGCCGTTGTGTCACTGCGGGTGGTGTGGTCCATGAGGCACAGAGCCTTGAGCACCTTTCGTGGGCACAGTCCTCCCCATCCCTTGACTTAGGTCACCTCATGGTAGTTAATCGGACTTCCCAGGTGGTGCCAGTGGTGAAGAATTTTACTTGCCAATGCAGGAGTGGGTTCCACCCCTGGATCAGGATGATCCCCTGGAGAAGGAAATGGCCCCCCACACCAGTCAGTATTCCTGCCTGGAGAATTCCATGAACAAAAGAGCTTGACAGGCTACAGTCCATGAGGTTGCAAAGAAGCCCCACCCCAGGCCCTGATAGAACACAGCCGAGCTGAGTGCTCTGTGCACTCCCCAGCCTCTTCCTCACCCCATTGGTGGTCCTGCCTGCCTCAGCATTCCTTAGGGATGTCAGTGGCCCAGACCATCCATTCCAGCTGGGCCTGGCTCCTGGCCAGCAACTCCCACAAGTAACCCACCTTCCACCTGCCTGCCTCGGCGAGGCTGGAGGAAGGAAGAACAGACCTTAGCTCGGGTTTCCAACCCAAATCTTGCAGCACTCCTTGAGGGCTCATGTCCTTGGCCAGGTGGCTGGCCTCTGGACTCCTTTTTCGCCACAGGTCTAGGGACTGAGTGAGGCTTTGGGCCAAGGCAGGTGGGGGCAGCTGGAACAGCTTCAAGCTTATGCACAGAAGCTGAGCTCCAAAGAGGGGCCAGAGGCTGTTGTCCCTCCTGGGGTGGGGGGAGCGGTGCCTGCTCCCTGTGGTCAGGCTGACTGTCCAGCTGTCCCAGGCAGTGACGGATCCCGCCTTGACACCTATTGTTGTTGCAGGCAGAGTCGTGGGACTTCCATGTGAGGTGTCCCCACCTGAGCACTGCGTGTAGTGTCCAGCAGGGTGAGGACCATCACACATGCTCCGGAGCGGCACGTCTCAGCTTCTGCCCTGAGCAGAGGACCGTCCACCCCCACCCCACCTACCCCAATGCCCTTCCTGTGGAAGAGGGGAAGAGGTGGTGCAGTCGCCTCTGCTATCAGCAAGATGGAGTGGAGGCAGCGCTTCAGTGAGGCTGTGACTCCTGGGGGAGCTGTAAGGCCACAGTGATGTGCAGAGGGGCGTGGTTGGGCAGTCAGGGTCTGGGGTCCTCTCCGACAGCTGGCAACCCCCGTTTAGGAAATTGCAGTCTGGGACAGTGGAGGCAGAGTTGCCTGAAAGGGGGGGGGCCGTCTCCCAGCCACCAGTCCCAGTGACAAGAGGGGATGCTGGGCTGCAAGCTTGGGGCTGGCAGCCTTTGCTGAGAGGTGTGGGAGGGACTGCACACGCCCCCAGGGAGGTGGTGCCCGGGCTCTGTTAACCTCTACCCCCTACTCCCCCTCTTTTGGACACACTGGGCCCCAGGACCATTCCCATAAAGTCTTCACTGCCTTAGCGCTGAGCCAAGAGCACCAGGAGAGGGGACAGGATGGGGTTGGGTCCAAGGCCCAGCCTTCATGCAACCTGAGAGTCTGGCTGAGCCCGGGGGCCTCTCCCCGCTCAGTGCCCCATCTACGGCCAGTCTCAGTTCTCCTGCCCACCCACGGTGGCCTGGGCACTAGTCCCGCTGCAGTGCCTAGGGCAAGATACAGGGAGCGTCAGCTGCAGCTGCATCCCCTGCCTGGCCATCAGCCGGGTAGTCATCAGAGGGCAGGAACTTCAGGGACACAGTGGGGTTCACCAAGTAAAGATGGGGCCTGCAACTGGCCCTGGGGCCAGGGATGGACGAGAAGCTCCTGGCGCTCCAGAGGCAGGGCCTCGAGTCACGCCTGGCACACAGCAGAGACTCCAGGTGCTGGCCAACCCAATTGCCCTGGCAGCCCCACAGCACAGCTGGTTGGATTTGCTCCCAGCCCAGGTGGCAGTCAGTCAGGTTCCCAAGAGCTCTGCTTACTGGTTGACTTCCAAATTGGGAATGGGGGCTCCAGGGGTCCAGGAGAGCTGCTACCTCTCCTGTTCCTTACCAAGAGGCTAAGTTTGGGATCTTCAGTTAGCAGATGTCACAGCAGGTCAGAGTGCTCCCGGGGACAGGGTGGTTGCTGAGAGAACAATCTCAGGGTCAGACAGGCCCAGGTTCAAGGCCCAGCTGTCCCACTTAGATAGTTCCTTGATCCATTTGGGCTTCTTTCCCTCAACCATAAAATGGAGATAAAGCCAGTGCCTACCGCATAGGCTTGTAAGGATTTAATAAAACAATCTGTGCAAAGTCTGGTGCCTTTTAAAAGATTTGACAACAGAAGTCTGGAGCACTGACCATTCAGAACAGGCACTGAGCAGCCAGTGCAGCCCTAGAGGCTGCATCTCAGTCCTGATACCAGGGCCCACCACAAGCTTGCTATCAGTATTAGCAGTACTATAGAAGTTTTTCATCATTGTGAAATAGAAGGGCAAAGGGGGCCCAAATCAGAAGACAGGTTAACCCTCTGGGAACAACAACAAATAAGCCTCCCAGAATCCGTGTGAGGGAGCGCCATCTGCTGAGAGCAAGTATTTTCAGAGACTATCTTGGGAGATGTGGACCCAAGCCCCGCCAGGAAACCAGTCTTGGGACTTCCTGGTGGTCCAGTGGCTAAGACCCTGCACTCCCAACGCAGGCGGCCTGGGTTTGAGCCTGTTAGGGAACTAGATCCCACAGCCACAACTAAAGGAAACCAGTCTTGTCTGTAATTGCAGTGGAGATGCCGGAGCTGCATGAAGCACAGAGACATTCACTGCATGAGGAAAGACCAGCGAGGCCCCAAGGACTCAGAATTGAGCATATGGACAAGCGGAGCACAGACTTTGGGTAGAAGTGTCCCCTTTAAGGTGCCACCTTCCCCCCCAATCTTGTGACATTTGGCCAGGAAATGGGAGGGAGAGTCAAAGGTCAGAGGCAGTCTTCCTTCTGAACAAATTTTATGTAACATGCTAGACAGCATTCAAACACTGATAGTAAACAGTTCTTGTAGATGAAATCAGTATTTCAGAGTCCAGTGTGAGCCAACAGGAGAACTCGCCTTTGGGTCAAATTAAGGTTTTCCAGGAATGACTGAAACTATACAAAAGATGAAGATGGGTGAAAAGGACATCTTTTCAATCAAAATAAAACAATGGAAATTAAAAAAAAATAATGGTGTAAGCTGCTTAGTGGTCAGAATTCCTCCTCTCTCTTAGAAAGCTCTTTCCTCCTCTGTCGGGACATTTATCTCAGTGAGGGATGAGGGTTAGATTGAGATTATCCCCTATCCGACAGTGAGAGCCAGAGGCTCTTATCTGGCCCATTGCTTGCAAGAGAGTCCAACAATGTATTAATGGATGACTGATAATAATAGCAAATATTTATTCTGTGCTTACCAAGTGCCAGAGGCTGCGCTGGGCACTCTGTGAAGATGATCTCATTCACTTCCTCCTGAAACAGTCTGTCAGGAAGGAAACACCAGCCTCACTGGATGGATGAGAAACTGAGGCTCAGAGAGGATAAGTCATCTGACTCAGATATCACACTAGTAAGGGCAGAGATTTGGGCTCAGAGTGGTTGGCCATCAGAGTTGAGGTGGGTAAATGATTCGAAGAGAAAGGGATCCTTGCTCCTACAAGGGGTCCTTACTCCCTACAAGGATGCATCTTTGCCTTGTAGGGAGGCCAGGTTTGAGTTTACTTCCATTTCAACCAGCTCCAAGAACCACTCATTGTTTTTTATTTGTTTTACCTATGCCAAGAAATGCCTGTGCTTTACTGTGAGTGAGTGAGCGAAAGTCGCTCAGTCATGTCGGACTCGTGACTCCATGAACTAGAGCCTGCCAGGCTCCTCTGTCCATGGGATTCTCCAGGCAAGAATACTGGAGTGGGTAGCCGTTCCCTCCTCCAGGGGACCTTCCCAACCCAGGGATCGAACCCAGGTCTCCTGCATTGCAGGCAGATTCTTTTACCGTCTGAGCCACCAAAGGAGCAGGCCATCAGATGAAATTTGGAATTGCTTTTATTCTTGGTTTTTTAAAACAATTTATTAAGATACAATGCATAAGGACTTCCCTGGTTGTCCAGTGGCTAAGATTCCAAGCTCCCAATGCAGAGGGCTCAGGTCCAATTCCTGTTCAGAGAACTAGATCCCGCAGGCTGCAACGAAGATTGAAGGTCCTACATGTCGCAACTAAGACCCAGAGTAACCAAATAAGTTAAAAAAGTAAAAATAAAAATGCACCTACCATACAAGTTACCCACTTAAAGTGGTTTTAGTGTATTCACAGATATGGCAGCCATTACCACTGTAAATTTTATAATATTTTCGTCATTACAAAGAGAAGTTGGTATTCTTACTTATCACCTCTTATTCTCCCACTTCTCTCAGCCTCAAGCAACCGGTGATCTACTTTCTGTCTCTTTAGATTTGCCTATTCTGGACATTTTTGATTGATATACAATTTGTAGTCTTTTGTAACTGGCGTCCTTCATTTACTATGTTTTCAAGGCTCATCCATGCTGCAGCAGGTACCAGAACTTCATTCTTTTCATAGCTAAATAATATTCCACTGGGACTTCCCTGACGGGGCAGTGGATAAGAATCTGCCTGCCAGTGCAGGGGACACAGGTTTGATCCCTGGTCCAGGAAGATCCTACATCCCACAGAGCAACTAAGCCCGTGTGCTACCACTACCGAGCCTGAACTCGAGCCCTCGAGCGGCAGCTGCTGGGCCCACGCGCCCTAGAGCCTGTGCGCAGTAGCAGGAGAAGCCGCCGCTAGGAGGCGCCCACGCGCCGCAACCGAAGAGTGGCCCTCGCGGCAGCTAGAGGAAGCCTGTTTGGGGCAACGAAGCACTGCCAAAAATAAATAACTTAAAAAATAAGACACCTTTTGTTTATCCATTTATCGTTTTCAGATCACTTCCACTTTTTGGCTAATGTGACTAGTGCTGCTGTGAACATTAGTATACAAGTTTTTGTGGGGACACATGTTTTTGTTTTCAATTCTCTTTAGTGTATATTGAGGAATAAAGTTGCTTGGTCATACGATAACTCTACGATTAGCATTTTATGGCGCTGCTTAATAGTTTTACATTCCCATCAGCAGTGTATGCGGGTTTTGATTTCACCACATCCTCACCAACACTTGTTATTTTCTGTCTTTAAAAAAAGTTTTTAGCCATTGTAATGAATGTGGAGTAGTATATCATTGTGGCTTTGATTTGCCTTCTCTAAATGACTAATGATGTTGAACATCTTTTCATGTCTTCTTTGGAAAAATGTTCAAATCTTCTGCCGATTTTTTCTAGCTTTAAAAACTTTTCTTTATTGATCCCCAGGACTTATCAGTAATCTTCCCCCCTCGTTTTAAGGTTGTCTTTTTTCCTATTGTAAGATTTTTTTTAAAGACTCAGCACTTCATTTTTTTTTAATTTCATCTTCATTTTTTATTTATATATTTTTATTTGGTTGTATGGAGTCTTAGTTTTGGCCCGTGGGAATTCTGTTGCATCATGTGGGATCTTTCGCTGTGCTGAGCAAGCTCCAGAGCGATCGCGCTACCAGAGGACACATACCGATAACATAAACTGATTAGAATCAAATGGATCCAAGATGGCAGACAAGTCAATTTCCTCTAGACCTTGATTCTCAATCAGCATGCGAAATGACACACCCAGAGGCTCCAGGACGGTTCACCAAAAACTGGCCCAATTCCTGGAAATCTCTATCCCTTCCCCCAAATGGTTGAAATAATCTCCCACTCAGCCTATGAAATTATCCAGTCCATAAACACTAACCATGCCACTTTTCAAGGCCACCGCACTTGACTTCTCTAATGGCCCATACTCTCTGTTAAGTCTGTTTCTCTCCGATCTGAATAAATCCACTTCTTATTTATTACTTTGTCTCTCACTGAATTGTTTGTGCGATGAGAGATCAAGAACCTAAGCTTCATTAGGTCATGAAACCAGGTCTGTGATCTCAGTTGGAAGACTCTGGGTTTTGGCCGTGTTCAAGCTGCAGCTACGTGGGTTAAGTCCCAGGTGGGGTTTTGACTGGGTTTGAGTCCCAGCACTAAGTCGATTCACTCATGTCTGACTCTTTGTGACCCCATGGACTGTAGCCCACCAGGCTTCTCTGTCCATGGGATTCTCCAGGCAAGAATACTGGAGTGGGTTGCCATCTCCTTCTCCAGGGTTGAGACCCAGTACATGGGTTTTAAGTCCCAATATGAGGTAAACTGTTTCAACTGGAGCACAAGAGCTTCTTTTCCCCCTTTCATGTGGGTTCATTGGAGAAGGAAATGGCACCCCACTCCAGTACTCTTGCCTGGAAAATCCCATGGATGTAGAAGCCTGGTAGGCTACAGTCCACGGGTTGCAAGAGAGTCCAAGACTGAGCGACTTCACTTTTACTTTTTATGTGGGTTCATACAAGGCGGATTCTTAACCACTGGACCACCAGGGAAGTCCCTTTTATACATTCTGATACAAGTCCTTTAAATATATGATTTGCAGCTATTTTTTCCATTCTGTGTGTTGTCTTTTCACTTTTTTGATGGGGTCCTTGGATGTGCAAAAGTCTTTTACTTTGATGAAGTACAGTTTGCCTATTTTTCTTTTGCTGCTTGTGGTCTGGAGTCATATCTAAACAACCACTGACTAAGCCAACGTCCCAAAGGTTTACCCTTATGTTTACTTCTAGGAGTTTTCAGAGCTAACTTTTGAATACTCTTGGGGCAACTTGTGAGCAGATCCCCAGCTACAGCCGGGGCCACAGCCCTCCACAAAACTCCCCTCCCTAATTTTAAACAGTCTGCTTATATTTCAGCCTCTCCCTTCCAAGGTTTCCTATGGAGTGGCCAAATGTGGAGAAGCTTGAAGGTTTAGGATGCAGGTTGGTGAGAGAGGAGATGTCACATTCAGAACACCAGATTTTGGAACCAAGGTTCCTGACTGAGGAAGCACCTGCCTTGACAGCTGGGCCCATCACTGCCCACTACCACCCTCCTTACTGCCCCACTGCTAGGAGCTGGGACAGCGGGTCCACTCTAGGAAAGGAGCCTACAGAAAGTGGCTCCACCAAACTCGGGCTGTCCTTATCTCTATACTGATTGTCTGGCCACCCTCTTAGAGATTCCTGATCAGGGGTTGGTGACCTCCGCAGGACTTTAGGACCTGGGAGAGCCCTTTGGGAGACCCGGGTGTGCTGGAGGCCAGCTCTGTAGCTCTGGCCGAGGTAGACGGCAGGGTGGATGGGTGTGACACAGAGGCCAAGGAAGGGCAGTTCAGATCTCCGGGTCCGGCCAACCCCCGCCGCGTGGGCTCCCAGCGATCCTTCCCGAAGCCCGCCGCCAGCCCGCCCCCTCGCCCGCGCCCGTTGGATTGGACCGGCGCGGCGGGCGGGGCGGGGCCGGGCCGGCGCGGCCCGGTTTGGGGCGGTGCGAGCAGCTACTGTGGGCCGACGCCGTGCGGCCCCGCCCCAGCATCCCGCGCCTACCGGACTGCGCCCGGCGGAGCTGCCGGGAGAGCGTCATGGCCGCTTCGGAGCAGCCCCAGGTCGGGGAGCTGCTGGCCAAGGCCCGGAGAGCCTTCCTGGAGGAGTTCGGGGCCGAGCCCGAGCTAGCCGTGTCGGCCCCAGGCCGCGTCAACCTCATCGGGGAACACACGGACTACAACCGGGGCCTGGTGCTGCCCATGGTGAGGGGCTGGGCGGGAGGCGCCCGCGCCCCGCGTGCACCGTCGCGCGGGCGGCTCCGAAGTTTCACTCTCGCCGCGTGTGGGGCCCGAGCACGTAGAGAGGCCCTCGGACGGGGCATTTCCCACGTCGGCAGGCAGGAAGGCGGGAATCCTCGAGGAAGTCGGCTGTGGACCGCTGATCCTCGCCATCTCCCTGGGAGCCTCCTCGCGGTGTGAGGGAATGCGGAAGCGGGGGCGCAGGGGTAGATGCAGGCGAAGTAAAGCCCTAAGCTTCCTGGTCCAGCCCGTTCAATTCTCAGAGGAGGCTCAGAGAGGGCTACTGATCTGCGCAAGGTCACACAGCGGCGATTGGACTGCCTTAGCCTGGGGCCGTGTCCATTCTCTGTGCAGCCTGGCAGGTTGAGTGAGTACAGTGCCTCTGAGGCTGCCTCCAAATGGGGAAGCGCCAAAAGGAGCTCTTCTGTTGTTTTCCCTGTTGAACTCTCTCTCTCCCCCTTGCGTCACAGCCAGGAGCCCACGCTTAGGGCAGAGTTCAGGTCTGCACTCCGAAAGCACTGACCCTTCCCCTGGGGCAGGACTCAAGCCCCCCAAGGCCTGATGAGCCATCAGACTCTTCCCCGGGACACTCCCCGTTCCCTTCACCTGGAGCCTGGAGGTCAGCTCCCTGTCTGCCCCAGGGCCCCTGATACTGGGAGTTTTGCATACTTGTGTTTCTCCTGCCAGGCTCTGGAGCTTGTGACGGTGCTGGCGGGCAGCCCCCGCAAGGACGGGCTTGTCTCCCTCCTCACTACCTCTGAGGACGCTGACGAACCCCGGCGGCTGCAGTTTCCCCTGCCCACAAGCCAGCGGCCCCTGGAACCTGGGGCCCCGCACTGGGCCAACTACGTCAAGGGAGTGATTCAGCACTACCCAGGTGTGGGACCCGGGGCTGGGCCAGATTCCTTCCTGGGCCACAAAGCCTGTTAGCTCATCTGATCCACTGTGGGGTAGGCGTGCAGAGTGGAGATTCCCCATTGGGCAGGGGAGGAGACTGATGCCCCCAGGGGTTCCAGAACTAGCCCTAGGTTGCCCGTCCAACGATTGGAGGAGCCAGGATTCAAACCCCAATGTGCTGGTCTCTAGAGCCCTGACTCTGGAGAACTGGGAGACTGTGTCTCAGGACCCTCAGGGTGGGAGGGTGGAGGGCAGCGGACCCCTTGATCCAGCAGTTGGTGACCTCTCACAGTTGAGACACATTCCCCCAGCAGCAGCTGCCAGGCAGTTGCCTCCCTTTGCATCAGAACGCCACATACCCTTCTTGTGTTCATCCTCCGCGGTGGCCTGTCTTAACTGTCATCCACTCTTTCCCCTGCAGCTGCCCCCCTCCCTGGCTTCAGCGCAGTGGTGGTCAGCTCCGTGCCCCTGGGGGGTGGGCTGTCCAGCTCGGCGTCCCTGGAAGTGGCCACGTATACCTTCCTACAGCAGCTCTGCCCAGGTACCTCCCAGCCCCCACCCAGCCCTGTTTCCCCCGAGGTCCTGTGATCAGAGCTTCCTACCCCAACCGTGGCCTTGGCAGGGTGAGGGGGGATCTCCCTGGAACGTCACTGGAGCTACTGCTGCTCCCACCTGCCGACCCCTCATGCCCCTTCCTGGGCCCCACCTCGCCCTGTGCTGCAGACTCGGGGACAATAGCTGCCCGGGCCCAGGTGTGTCAGCGAGCCGAGCACACCTTCGCAGGGGTGCCCTGTGGCATCATGGACCAGTTCATCGCACTGCTGGGGCAGAGAGACCATGCGCTGCTCATTGACTGCAGGTCAGGGGCTCCCCTTGGACCTCCCACCTCATAGGAGCTCCTGGATGGAGCTTGCGCGCGGCAAGCAGACACCTGGCCTTGTCATCTCCCCCCGCTCCATCTCCACCCCAGGTCCCTGGAGACAAGCCTGGTGCCGCTGTCGGACCCCAAGCTGGCCGTGCTCATCACCAACTCCAACGTCCGCCACTCACTGGGCTCCAGCGAGTATCCCCTGCGGCGGCGCCAGTGTGAAGAGGTGGCCCGGGCGCTGGGCAAGGAGAGCCTTCGGGACGTGCAGCTGGAGGAGCTAGAGGGTGAGTGGAGGGTGACGGCTGGCCGGTGCGCTCTGTCCTGGAGACTGCTCGGCACCCCGAGGAGGCGGCTGAGTGGGGCGGGGCGGGGCCCAGATGTACTGCCTCTCGCCTCTCGGAATCTCTGCCAAGGTCTGCCCACTCCTGACATGGCTAACATAGGACTGCTTGATATCTCGATATTGTTTTTTATAATCTAAGAATTAAATATGCACTGTGGAAAATACAGAAAAGGACAAAGAAGAAAATAACAAGCTATAAGATTGCTACCCAGAGATAGCCACTAAGCTTTTTTTTTTTTTTTTTGGCTGCACTGGGTCTTTGTTGTGATGTGCGGGCTTCTCTTGTGGGTCACGGGCTCCAGGCACACGGGCTTCAGTAGTTGCAGCCCATGCGCTCAGTAGTTGTGGCGCACAGGCTTGGTTGTTCCCTGGCATGTGGAATCTTCCTTGATCAGGGATAGAACCTGTGTCCCCTGCATCGTCAGGCAGATTCTTAACCGCTGTACCACCAGGAAAGTCCTACTGTTAGCATTTTGATATATTTCCTTGAGTGGTTTTCTGTACCTGTATTTTCTTTTTAAAAAATACTTAAAAATTTTTTTATTGAATTATGGTTGATTTACACTGTTGTGTTGGTTTCATCATCTGTATTTTCAAAGTTGAGTAAATACAGTATTGCTACCTGCCCTTTTATCACCCTTAACTCCCTCAGAACACTCCCTATACCATGAAAGGCCGGTCATCAACATAGCTTTTCTTCTCCCCCACAAAAGTTTACTCTTAAATGTACAATAGGTTCCAAGACAAGACAACACTTCATTGTAGCTATAGGTGGCAACAGATGTTAATGGGAGGGAGTCCAGATGTTTAAACAGGAATGGAACTAAGAATCATCATTGCCTCAGGCACAAGGAACATTTTTTGGCCAGATTTCTTAATTCCTCCTGTGGGCAGGGGGCCTTTCGGCTTTGGCTTTTAGCTCCTCCTCCTGTTTGTGTTTGAATGCCTTATCTTCCTGGTCCCATCTCCTTGGCTTGCTTCTTGGGCTGCATCAGGGGCTTCTTCTTGCCACCTTTGAGGTCCAACATGGTGCCTGCCACCCCTTCCCCAGACCCTGCCACTGGAAGGGATTTTTTTTGGCTGCCTGGGGCCTTAGTTTTGGCATGTGGAATCTTTGGTTGCAGCATATGAACTCTTAGTTGCAGCATGTGAGGCCTATTAATAGTTCCCTGGCCAGGGAACAATCATTGGTTCCGGGCCCCCTGCTTTGTGAGCACAGAGTCTTAGCCACTGGACCACCAGGGAAGTCCCCATCAACATGGCTTTTTAAAGCTACTGTAGCATTTCAGCATATAGGTGCCCTTTAATTTACTTAACCAGTTTCTGATAATCACATCTAACACCGCGAGGGATGTTTTTATACATTATTCTTTCTCTGTGTTTTTCTCCTATTTTCTCAGGATTAGATTGTTTGGAGTAGGATCACAGGGTCAAAAGATAACATATATTTTTAAGTTTCCAGATACACATGGCCAGGAAGGTAGTCTGTTGAACAGTTTAAAGGTCATGTAAACATAAACTCATTGAATTCTCTCACAACTCTGTAGGACAGATATTACTGTCATCTTTAAACAGTTTTTATTTATGTATTACTTTTGACCGCTCTGGGCCCTTGTTGCTTTGCCTGAGCTTTCTCTAGTTGCGGCGATCCGGGGCTGCTCTGGGCTGCGGTGCTGAGGCTTCTCGCTGCGTGGTTCTCGGCACGAGTGCTTCAGTGGCTGCAGCTCCTGGGCTCTGTAGCTTGGTCTCAGCAACTGGTGCACGGGCTCCGTTGCTCCACAGCCTGTGGGATGCTCCCAGACCAGGAATCAAACCCGTGGCCCCGGCACTGGCAGGTGGGGTCTTATCCACTGCACCACCAGGGAAGTCCCTCTCACTTTTTTGTGATGGGGATATACAGTGAGTGACAAGGCTAAGACTTGATCCCAGGCAGATCAGCCCGTCCTCCTACCTTCCGGCCCAGGCTGCTGGCCTTAGGAGCTGCCCTCCCTGGCAGTGGGGGGCCCTTTTCAGGGACCATCTTGTCCTTCATGGTGAACCAACATCTTTAGAGCTTCCCCACCTGCTCTGTGCAGGTGACGGTGGTTGAGCTTTTCACCCTTGAGCACTTGGCTGTTTCTCCCCTCCTCCTCGGCCCTTCCATTCGCCCCCCACCCCCCAGCCCTGGAGGTCTCTCTCTCCCTCAGGAACTGTGCTCCTCTCTGCCTGCCTTTCTGTCCTCTGCCTGCCTCCCCACCTTCTGCTTTTAAACATGCCCAGTCTTCTAACATCCTCAGATGGAGTCTCCTTCCTATGCCAGTCCTCTGGGAAGGGTGCCTGATGCTCACGACCGCGTTTTCTCCTCTCTGTGTGCGTGCTGAGTCACTTCAGTCATGTCCGACTCTTTGCGACCCCATGGACTGTAGCCTGCCAGGCTCCTCTGTCCATGGGATTCTCCAGGCAAGAATACTGGAGTGGGTTGCCATTTCCTCCTCCAGGGGATCTTCCAGACCCAGGGATCAAACCCATGTCTCTTTGTGTCTCTTGCATTGGCAGGCGGGTTCTTTACCACTCATGCCACCTGGAAAGCCCTTTCTCCTCTACTCATTTCTGAATCCTCTGAACCCAGTGGCTGGTCTCCCATGCCACCTGGTATGACACCTCTCCTGGGGGCTCCCTGCAGAAACCTGGGGGCTGCCCTCGCCGCCCCCTCAGTGCTGGATCTGCTTGGTCAGAGCCCTGTTCCTCCTCCCGGGCCTGCCCCAGGCTTTGTCCCCCCTCAACTCCGGCCACCACCGCCCCACTGAGGACTCAGATGGGAGTCCAACCCCCATTCCCACCTGGGGTCCTGGAGCCTTCACCTGGCCCTGGCGGAACTCATCCTTCTCCTGGGCACCGCTCCTCTGACTTCTCCTTGTCTGTTATTTCCTCACCCTTGTCACTCCTGTTTGAAACTTCAGTTACCCCTGAGTGCTTCCTGGCCCCTAGCCCCCTCGGGTCTCTGACCTCTTCCTCCTCCTCCCCTTCCTCCCCACATGGGCCCCTCCTGGTCTCTGACGTTTAACAGCCGCCAGCTGGACTCCTGGCGCCGCCTCTCCCAGCCGGGCCCCTGCCCAAGGCGGTTGCTTTTGTCAATAGAGCTCAGCTCCATCCTTCCCCGGCTCCGGAACCTCACTGGCAACCGGAATTACGTTTCAAAGTCTCCTCGGTGTTCAGGGCCGCCCTTAGTGACTCGGCTGGCTGTGCCCGCTTCAACATTAGCCAGTTGGACAGCCTGCTGGTTCCGTGGGGTATCCCAGGCAGACCTGGGTTGTACTGGATTCCTGGCCCTTGGAGGTTTCACTGTTAGTACAGCAAAAACACCAGCAGAACCTTTCCTTTCTGTTCTGTCTTGGCCTCTGGAAGGCAGCAGTGTCCCATTCGCTATGGAAGCACTCAGTGTGGGGCTCAAACGGCTGTTTATTGAGTACCCACTGTGTGCCAGGCACGCTGGGGGCTCTGCATGTGTCTGCTCACTGAGTTCTCCCCACACCCCGAATGAGGTGGGTCATGCCCCCTTTTTTGGCCACACTGCACGTGGGATCTTAGTTCCCCAACAAGGGACTGAACCCATGCTCCCTCCAGTGGAAGCTTGGGGTCTTAACCACTGGACCCCCAGGGACGTCCTGGGTACCCCCTTTTGTAATCGAGGAGGTGAGGTCTGAAACCTTGCTCCCCAACCCGAGGTTCTACTCACGGCTTTGTCAGAACCAGAGTGGAGATGCCCCCGTGCACCCCTGGGGCCAGTGGCCTGGAGTCCACAGGGGCCCAGAGGCCATGGGTGGCAGGTCTGCTGAGCCCCTTTCCTCCCCAGCTGGCCGGGACCTGATGAGCATGGAGGCCTTCCGGCGGGCGCGGCACGTGGTGGGCGAGATCCAGCGCACGGCTCAGGCGGCGGCCGCACTGCGCCGCGGCGACTACAGAGCCTTCGGCCGCCTCATGGTGGAGAGTCATCACTCACTTAGGTGAGGCCCCTGGGTGCCCGGCAACCCGCAGGCACACGTGTTGCAGCTCGGGCCGGCTCCAGGCCTACCCCTTCCCCACATATCCTCTCCGCAGAGATGACTACGAGGTGAGCTGCCCCGAGCTGGATCAACTGGTGGAGGCCGCGCTCTCCGCGCCCGGGGTTTACGGCAGCCGCATGACGGGCGGTGGCTTCGGGGGCTGCACGGTGACCCTGCTGGAGGCCTCCGCCGCTCCGCGGGTGATGCAGCACATCCAGGTGGGCAGTGCTGGAGTTGTGGGGCGTGGGGAGCAGGAGAGATGGGCTCCCAGGGCCAAGCTGAGCTCATTACCCCCACCCCCCAACAGGAGCAGTACCGTGGGACCGCCACCTTCTACCTCTCCCAGGCAGCTGATGGTGCCAAGGTGCTGCGTTTATGAGGCCCTCGCCGGGACGGCAAGCGGTGGGCCTCCCCTCCTGTCTGGGTGCTCAATAAACTTGTATCTCTGACTCTGATGCCCGCCTGCCTCAGGAGGTGGATGTGTGCTGGGGTATCAGAAAAGGGGTGTGTGAGAATCGCTCCCTGTTCTGGGCAGGCCCCAGAAACATGGTCAGGGCAGAACCAAGCGGTAGCAAAATGCTTTATTATAGTGCAGAACAAAGCCAGGTCCTTGTCATGCTGGGTCCAGCTCTTTGGTTACAAAGGGGCTCGGGCCTGGGGCAAGGGGGCAGCCAGAGGGGCCTTCCGGGACCTCTGCCCCCTCCATGCCGCCAAGAGGACACAGCCAGAGGCAGCGGCCCTGTGATAAGCATGCGGGTGCGCTGGGCCACCAGGGGTCCAAGGATGGAGTAGCTGAGGCAGCGCCTGGGGGAGGGGGTGCGGCGGGGGGCTCAGGTCTGGAAGAACTGTTGGTCCACGTGGGTGCTGAGGGTCCCACTGGTGGTCAGCGTCCGGCTCACAAACTCCTGTGTCACGTGCCGCGTGAGGGAGCCACTTGCTTCCAGGTGCTGGGAGCCCAGGGTGAGTCCATCTGTAGGGGAAGAAGCGTTGAAGGACCCACCCCCGGAGTCCTGACCACGCCCCCCGCTTCCGGTTAGCTCTGTTTCCCCGGGGAGAGCCAGGAGCCCCCACCATGCAACTCACCCAGTAGGAAGGGCTCAGTGGTGCTGGAGTGGGTGGTGATGCTGCTGTATTCCCCTGACACTGGGTGCTGGAAGAGCCCCGAGTGGCCGCCCAGCTGGGGGAAGGGTCCTGGGTGGATGGTGCCAGGAGAGGGTGGGGCTGGAGAGGGGGCGGGGCTGGAGAAGGGGCGAGGAAGCCTGCCTCCATCCTGGGACTCGATGGTGATGATCCCCTCGCGCTCCGGCCCGAAGCCTTGGGTGGTCTTGGCCTGCACCTTGAACTTGTAGGGCACGTTCTCGCTGAGACCGGGCACGGTCAGCCGGCTCTCGGGGCTGTCGCCGTCCACCAGGAACGTGGTGGCTGGCTCTGGGCAGGGAAGATCCCTTTCAGTCTCTGCAGCTCCCTCTCCAGCCTTCCCCTCCCCCGCCCCCCAGCCCGGGGCGGGCAGCACCTCCTCCGTGGGCCACCTCACACGTCACCAGGTAGCCCAGAATGTCGCCGTCCGGCCTTCGGGGCCGCTCCCAGCTCAGCTGCAGAGAGTCGGGGCTCAGGGCCGTGAACACCAGTGGGCCGGGGGCGCTGGGCGTGCTCAAGGTGAAGGCGGAGCCTGGGGGCAGCCAGGAAGCTTGTCAGGGGTCGGGTGGGTGTCTGAGTGCCAGGTGGGGGCACCTGCGGGGGTGGGGGCGGCAACTCACCGGGCAGGGGGCAGAGCGGGCTCTGCGGATGCACCTGCGACTCGATGGTGATGACGCCCTCGCGCTCTGGGCCCCAGCCCTGCTGGCTCTGGGCCCGCACGCGGAACACGTAGGAATGGTTGGGCAGGAGGTCCTCCACCACCACCGAGGTCTGGCTGGGGTTGGGGATGTTGAGGCGATACAGCTCACCTGGGTGGGGGACAGAGGCAGACAGTGGAGCAGCCTCATTCCTCATTCCTAACCCCTGGCCTGATCCCGCCCCTCCCCGAGGCTGCAGCCCAGACCTGGTCGTCACCCAGCCAGGATCAGCTGTGGTTGGGGTACAGGTGGGGTCGGCCTTGCGTGGTGTGGTTGGGGGTTCAGGTTGTGCACTATACAAGGGGTGTGTGGAGCCTGAAGTCCCATCTGTGTGTGATGGCTGTTTACGGGCCCAGGTCATGCCTGCCCAGAGAAGTGCCACTTCTCATAGCCCAGCAGAGAGGCCCTGGGTCCCCAAGCAAAACCTTGCAGGGGAACTGATCGGAGAGAGAGGATGAGGGAGAGAGGATTCAGGGAGATGTATGAGGACGCAGTGGAATAGGGAAAGCAGTGAAGGGGACAGTGGGGGACTCGGAAGAGAAAGACCCTCTCAGAAAGGCAGGGGGGTGGAAGCGGGGCCCATTAGTGGTCAAGCAGCTCGGCTGGGCTCCTGACAGCCCGAGCCCCTGTGTGTCAGCCCGCCAGCAGCCAGGCCTTACCGCCGTTCAGCAGCTGGTACTCCACGCTGTAGCCCTGTAGCGCACGCTCACACTGCGGCTCCTGCCAGCTAACTTTCAGAGACGTGGGTCCGAGGGCGGAGAACACCAGGCGGGTGGGTGTGTTGGGCACACCCGCAGCCAGGCGGGAGCCTACAGATGGAGGGGGGGCAGCAGTCAGCCCGCGGCGGGGGTGTCTGGGCAGGAGTCCCTGGTTCTCAGCCACACCTCCCTGTCCGCTGGCCAGGTAGCTCACTCAGCCCTGAAGCACCCTCTCCAGGCCACCCAGGGCCTCCCCACTGTACTCAGGGTGGGTGCGGGCTCCGCCTGAGCTGGCCGGCCCCCCACCCTCCTCAGCTGGCCCCTCTCCTGCCCTAGCCCCAGCCCAGCACCCTGGGAGGACAGGCCGCTTTAGGCACCAGTGTGGATGTGGATGGGATGGAGGGTGAGGAGGCGCAGGCAATGCTGATGGTGGGTGGATGGTGACATGGAGCCAGACGGCCATGGAGATGCAGGACGGCCACCCCTGTACTACCTGGGCCCCAAGAGGGCGCTGCTGGCTGCCCAGCCAGGATTATAGAGTCTCTCAAGTCCCCGGAGCGGGGGGCCCCCTTCATCTGAGCCCGACTCCGGGACCCCAGGGCCCAGGACAGCGGAAGCCTGCTCCTCCCGTGTTCCCAGATGGGAGGGAGGCCTAGGGCAGGACAAAACATGAGTGAGCCAGGGTGGGGCGGGTGTGCGTGTTGGACGATGGGCAGCAGGGGGACAGCAGCCCCCGCCTCGCCTCCAGGAGCTGGAAGAGAGGAAGGATGGGCCGGAGGCCGGCGGAGGGGGCGGCACTCACTCTGGGAGGACAGGGAGGTGAGGGTGGAGTAGTCCCTGGGCAGCGTGGCCGAGTGTGAGTGCTCCGTGCGGGTCAGCGAGTGGTAGTCCCGCGTGAGGGTGGACGAGGTGCTCAGCATGCGGTGGGGTAGCTGCGGGCTCAGGTGGGTGCCGTGGGCCGCAGTGCTCACGGTCATCCTGTGCAGGGAGTTGGCGCTGCCGGGGAAGGCAAAGTCCATCCGCCCGTTCACCAGGTGCTCTGCGGGGACAGGGCAGGGTCACTCCCACAGGCCCGGCTGCAGACCCCGGAGTCCCGAGAGGCAGGCTGCTGCAGCCCTGGGAGTTCCGGGGGGTTATCTACCTACCCTCTGGGGGCCCCCTGGCATCAAAACACCCAGCCTCCCTCTGCCCACCAGGGACAGAGGCCCCTGGAGGAGTCCACGGTCCCCCATCCCCGCAGACTTCTGGAACGCAGGTCCCCTGGCCCAGCAGGAGGCCCCCCATGGACCCGACCTCCGCTGGGGCCTCGCAGCCCCTCAGTCGGCCCCGCCCTAGGGAAAGCCCACACGCCTGCCCTGGGGTCTCCTGGCAAGCCAGCCTGGCTGCGGTGGGCTCTGGCTGGAGCTGAAGTGGGTGCGGGTAGGGGAGTGCCGGTCACCTCCCTCCCCGCCGGCGCCCCGCGCGCCCCCATCGGCAGCGCCGTCTCCCGGGGGCCCGGAGTCAGAGGAGCGCCGGCTGCCGGCGGACAGGCGCGGGATGAGCTCCGGGGGCAGCCGCCACGTGACGCGCCGCAGGTCCAGCTCCTCCCCCAGCAGGGGTTCGAACTTCCAGCCGCCGCCTTGGGAACAACGAAGGGCCGCGTTGGCACCGCCAGGGGGCGCAGGGGGCGCGGAGAAGGGCCGGCGTTCCCCCGGCTCTGCGATCTGGGTGTGCGGCGGCGGGGAGCCCAGTGGCAGGCGGGACCCTCAACCCGGAGGTGTTAGAGGGCGGCCTGGGCCGCTACTGGCGAGGGAAGACGCCCTGGCTCTGCCGCGAGCCCTCTGCTCTGAGCCTGCTTCCGGTCTGGATGAGGGAGGGAGTGATGTCTCCCCGGCCTGCCTCCCAGCGAGTTCCAGCAGCCGGAGTAGATCTGTGTAGTGCCGACAAGCTGGGGAACCTGATTCATACCAGCTGCTCTGTCTACCCCAGACTCTCAAAACCCTCAAGACCTCTGAACCCTAGCTTGACTCCATGGAGGCCTGATGTAGGTAAGGAAGGACGAAAATACAAATCCTGGGGCTTCCCTGGTGGCTCAGTGGTAAAGAATCTACCTGCCAATGCAGGAAAAACAGGTTTGATCACTGGTCTGTGACCCAATGGAACTGAACTGAACCTGGAAGATCCCACATGCCTCGAAGTAACTAAGCCTATAGGTCAGAACTACTGAGCCTGTGCTCTAGAGCCTGGGAGCTGCAAGTACCAAGCCCTAGAGCCCGTCTTGCTCCACAGTAAGGGAAGCCACCACGATGAGAAGCCTGCATGGCACCGAAGACCCGGCAGAGCCAAAAATAAATGATATAAAAAGGAAATACAAATCCTGGTGGATTTTCACTCAGCCTAGTATGACTAGCATCCCATTTCACAGATCAGAAAACTGAGGCAGAGAATGTACATGATTCATCTGAATTCCCACAGTGGTGGTTTAGTCACTAAGTCCTGTCCGAGTCTTGCCCCATGGACCCCATGGACTGTGGCCCGCCAGGCTCCTCTGTCCATGGGATTGTCCAGACAAGAATACTGGAGTGGGTTGCCATTTCCTTCTCCAGGGGATCTTTCCAACCCAGGAATTGAACCCAGGTCTCCTGCATTGCAGGCAGATTCTTTACCAACTGAGCTACAAGGGAAGCTGTCCCGCAGTGAAGCCAGAGCTAAAACAAACCCCGCGAGTCCCAGTCGAGGGCTCCTTGCATCACACTGCACAGGAATCCAACAGGCAAGCAGAACAGGGCCAGCGCAAGGAGCACTGCTCTGGGGGCCCCCGAGCCAGTGGCTATTCTGGGGCTTCTGGCCCAGGCTTGCCTCCTTGCCTGAAGCCCTGTGTCTGGGAGGTGCCCTGGGGGTCCTGACGACACTGCACAGCTGGTGAGCCTTCCACTGTCAAAACTGTGTTTCCAATCTCATGTGCACAAGCCTGTGTGCATGTGCCCCGAGCCCATGTCTGTCTATCTGTCTGTCCTCACACAGAGACGTGCACACCAGTCCTATGAGCCGTGTCGGCTTTGTCCCCTCTGTACCCAGAGCCAGAATGCTGATCGTTGATTTTGCAGAGAGGGGACTTTAAGTCTTGATCTTCGTGCCCAGTGGTCACTGGCCCCTTCGCTGTCTCTGGACACCAGCGAGAGCCCCACCCTCTACCCAGGACCCCCACCATCCTCGCCAGGATCCCCGGCCCACTCACCGGTGTCATCAGAGACGCTGGGCCTCTGGCTGCCAGCTGGGGAGCGGAGCACGTCATCGCTGTACATGAGGAAGCTCTCGTAGTCCTCCCCACTCTGGGCGTCCACGATGGGGATGTCAGGGATGATGGGGACTGTGGGCCGAGGGGAGGGGTGAGCCAGGGCCCAGACCTCAGACCCCTGCCTGCCCCTGCCTGCCCTATGCCTCCCTGCCTCCTGCTCACTAGACATGGGTCGCTTGGGCTGGGTGGCAAGGTTGATGATGGCCTCCCGCTCAGGCCCCCAGCCTGCTCCGTTGCGAGCCTTGACCGTGTAGCGGTACGGCTGGGACTCGCGCAGGTTCTCGATGAGCAGCGTCCGCTTCTTGGGGCCGTCCACCAGCACCTTCTTCATGGGCCCGATGGGTCCTGGGGCAGGGAGAGTGCCTTAGAGGGGTCTGGCCCCAGCCTGGCCCCGGTCTTGGATGCCCCAGGCCCGCCACGCGGCCTCTGAACTGCACCCAAGGGTGCAGGGGGACAGGGCAGGGAGCGAGCAACTGTTGACGCCCAGCCACAAGCCAAGCCCTGAGAACCTGGCTGTGACTGGCTTAGAGAAGTGTCGCTAGGGCTCCACGGGGCTCATCGCTAAGGTGAATGGCAGAGATACACTAGACTCAAGTCAGCCCCGAGTCACCTCAACCAGTTGGTAAAGGTCCTACATTCACGTGCATCTGAGCAAGACTGGCTTCAGAGCCAAGAGTGCCATCACCACCTGTGCCTCACCGTCCCCAACCAAACCCCACATGCTCTGTTGGGAAATCCAAAGTGGAGACATTTGGGGACTTCCCTGGTGGTCCAGGGGCTAAGACTTTGCTCTCCCAATGCAGGGGACCCAGGTTCAATCCTTGATCAAAGAACTAGATCCCGCATGTCATTGCTGAGTGGCCAAGTTGTGTCTGACTCTTTCGCAACCCCGTGGACTATAGCCCTTGAGGTTCTTCTGTCCATGGGATTTCCCAGGCAAGAACACTGGAGTGGGTTGCCATTTCCTCGTCCAGGGGATCTTCCCAACCCAGGGATCGAACCCAGATCTCCCACGTTGGCAAGTGGATTCTCTACCACTGAGCCACCAGCAAAGCCCCAGATCCCACAGGCCTGGGGCCTGAAAAGATTCTGCGTGCCACGATGAAGACTGAACATCCCGCATGCCCCAGCGAAGACCCGGCACAACCAAAACAATAAATAAAAAGTGTTTTAGAAGTGGAGACACTCGGACACTCGCCATGGCTTCCCTGGTCATCTGGGCAAGGGTAGGAGGAGACAGGCAGGCCTGATCCTGCAGCCGGGGACAGGCCGAGGCCTGCGGGAGCTGAGGGCGCCGGGGTAGGGTGGAGGTTGCACAGGAGTCAGTTAGCTGGGAGCAGAGGTGAGGCGGCTCCCCCACACCCAGAAGGCAGGACACGCAGCCCTGGGAGTGGGGGAGGAAGAGACCCCAGGCTGCTCTGAGTGAGTTACAGTGCCCAGGGGCCCTGACCTGGCAAGATGGGGCCCTCTGGGTGATCAGAAGACATCCCAGTGTCCGAGGGGTCCAAAGGAGGGCTCTCGGGGAAAACCCCACCTGCGAAGCTTGATGCTGTCTGATAAGAAAGTGGCTGTGCTCCAAGAACTGGCTGATGTTGGACCACTGCCTGGGGGAGGTGTCCGAGTGCTGAGGTGGGGCCCCCCCCTTACATCTGCCTGCCAGGGGGAGAAGGGAAGGGGGCCACCCCAAAGTGCTGATGCCCTTGGGTCAGGAGGGCTTCCTCACATGTTTGTGAGGCAGAAGCTAAGACTGTGGGCCAAAAGCATCAGTCACACCTGGTTAAGATTAAAGGCCGGGTCAGAAAAGACTTCCTGACAGCGGTCCATGGGTGGACCAGGAGTCGCCAACAGAATGAGCCAAGGTGTGACGCAGCAGCTGAGAAGGTTGTGTTTGGTCGGCCAAGCTAACAGAGCAAGGAGCCTGAGGCCCAGAACAATCCCTGTTCGGCCACTAGGGAATGCTAAGCCTGACCCACTTTAGGGTCCACAGGTTGCATCTGGGGGTGCGAAGCTCTCCATCCCTGGGATGAACTGAACAGGTGAGGATGCAAAGAGGAGGGCCCTGCATCAGGCAAGAGCAGGGGACTGAGTTCCCTTGAAAAGTTTTCCATCCTGACAATTGCAGGGGTCACCTCTCCCTTCCAGGATGGGAGAAAAATAAAGGTTTCTGCCAGGTGCTCTGGCCTAGGGCTGCCAGATAACATATTGCATGAAATGTACTAGAAAAATTGTTTGCCTGAAGTTCAGGGTGTCCTCTGCTTTTTATTTGCTAAATCTCTCTACCCTGGCCTGAAGAGACCTGTGTAGAATTGAGCCACTCTTGTTAACCTGCGTGGGCAGGCACTGTGACCGCATTGCACACACATAACCTCATGCCCTTCCATCCTCACCTGCCCTGGGAGCTTCTGGGCTCTGCTTTGGAATGCAACTAACTCAGCCTAAACCTGACCACAAACCTAACGATGCCCCCAGGCAACCAGACATGGGGACTCATCCACTGACCTGGGGGCTGTGACCTCCTCCCGTTCTCCGCACCCCCCCACCCCACCGCCTCCCTGGGGGCAGAAGGAGAGGGCGGGCCCTTACGGTTGTCCTCATTGACCAGGCCGTAGCAGACCTCATAGGCTGTGATCTCGCCGTTGGTCTCGGCTGGCTCGGCCCAGCTCAGCTGGGTCACAGTGGAGGAGACGACGTTGAAGGCCAGACGCCCGGGCTCGCTGGGCACTGGGTGGGGCAGAGGGGGTGCAGGAAGAGTGCTGTCAACAGCGGACAAGGGGGCAGCGTTCTGGGCGGGGCAGGGCCGGGCAGGCTGGCATCAGGGTGGCCGGGGATGGACGTGGCGAGGCCTCACCTTCCTGGTGGGTGCGACAGGACACCGGAGAGCTGTAGGGGCCCTCGCCCTGAGCCCCGTAGGCGCACACCTTCATCTCGTAGTCGCAGTACGGGTACAGGTTGGTGAGCTCCACCGAGGGCGCCTTGCTGTCGAGCAGGTGGGCTTCGGACTCAGGGTCACCCTGGATCCAGTACTTCACCTGTGCCCAGGGCGGGGCTGGTCAGTGGGGGGCAGCTGGCAGAGCCCACTGTCCCTCTGCTGAGCCCTACGGTCCCGTGGGCACACAAACGTGGAGGGATTGAGCGCCCTGCCAGGCGCACGCAGCAGGGCTGGCACAGAGCACAGGTGTTTTCAGGTTCCGGGGGCCACTTTCCAGGGACTTCTTCCTCCCTCAGGGGCAGATGGGGGTTCCCCACCCACTGAGGCCGAGCACGCCCTCTCCTCTCCCTGGGGCCCTCTCTGGCCTTGGTGGGCCCACCTCTGCCACGTGTGCCCGCCCCCCCCATCCACCTGCCTCGTCGCGCCCCCCCCACCTTACCCGGTACCCTGTCGGCTTGCCAGGAGGCGGCAGCCAGTTGAAGTGGATCTTCCGGGACCCAGCAGCCTTAGCATTGGGGTTCTGTGGGGCACCCAGGTCGCCCCGGGGTGGTGGGGGTGATGACACGGTCTGGTTCATTATGCTCCGGTCCAGCTCGTCTGCAGGGTGTCAAGCCCGGGCAGGGCAGTCAGCAGAGATGCCTCTCTGGCTTTACCTCTCGCATCACATCACATGTATGGCTGTGAGAGGTGGACTATAAAGAGCGCTGAGCACCAAAGTATTGATGCTTTTGAACTGTGTGGTGTTAGAGAAGACTCTTGAGAGTCCCTTAGACTGCAAGGAGATCCAACCAGTCGATCCTAAAGGCAGTCAGTCCTGAATGTTCACTGGAAGGACTGATGCTGAAGCTGAAACTCCAATACTTTGCCCACCTGATGCGAAGAACTGACTCATTGGAAAAGACCCTGATGCTGGGAAAGATGGAAGGTGGGAGGAGAAGGGAATGACAGGGAATGAGATGGTTGGATGATATCACAGACTCAATGGATATGAGATTGAGTAAACTCTGGGAGTTGGTGATGGACAGGGAGGCCTGGTGTGCTGCGGTCCATGGGGACACAAAGAGTCAGACATGACTGAGCGACTGAATTGAACCTTCCTCCTGCTCCAGGGGGAGCCAGGAGGGTCTCTAGAGGGATGAGGGCTTGCCCTTTTGGTCCCTTTGGCAGCCAAGGTGTGCCCCACAGAGAACATTTTCTCTTCCCAACGCCCTACCCCAAGACTCCTCCTCCACCCCCACCCTCTCCAGGGTGGGCTCACAGGCTGCTCTATAATGGAACCTAAGGGCCCGTAAGAAGTGTTTCACCCCTTCTGGAACACTTGCATTTTAGCTTGAACTAAGGCTGAAGTCATCAAAGGGCTAAGGCCTAATGGTGGGATTCCCAGCCAGCGGCAGGCCGGTGGCCACATGGCCCCAGTCTCTCTGATTGACAGCAGGGTTGCCAGATAAATACAAGATGCCTAGTTAAACTGGAATTTCATGCAAAGATACTTTTAAAGAATAATTACATCCCCAATAGTGCATGGGATATACTTATACTACAAGTTCAGTTGTATTTTGTCTGAGATTCAAATTTAACTCAGCATTCTGTATTTTTACTGGCTGAGACTGTCAAGAAGCCCCTAGTCCTCCCTCCCCACCTGCTTAACCTGACCCCAGGCTCTGGCTACCTCGGTCCCCAATGATGACAGTGGCAGACTGCGGCTGGCCCAGGCGGGCCCCGAACTTGGGGTTGCTGAGTTGAATGTAGAAGCGGCGGGTCTGGGGGCCCCGCAGGAGGGAGTCCATCTCCTGCAGCTCCAGGAGCTTCACCTGCAGCTCCTTCCAGGTCTCCCCAGGTTGGAACAGCAGCTCACCCTCCACAGGGATGTAGTCCTAGGAATGGCAAGGGGTCAGAGTTGGAGCAGGCCTGGGAGATGCGCCATGGCCACACCCCCATGGCTCCACCCCCCACCTCACAGCCGATGCAGAGACCTTCACGCACAGACTGTCCCACGTGGACACGGAATGGCTCCTGTTTATACAGCACCTCTTGGGCATCAAGCACTTTCCAGATACTAAATCGTTTCATCCTCAGGGCAGAGTAAGGTAGAGATATTACTGTCCCCATTTTTACAGATCAGGTAACTGAGGCACACAGAGGTAAAGAAAGCTGCCCAAGTTCACACAGGTAGTTGTGGTGGAGCTGGGATTTGAACCAAGGCACAGAGAGACAGGGATGCAGATAAAGAGGGTGAGAGAGACAAGGATGCAGATACTGGAGGGTCCCACACAGACAGGCACTCAGCCAGGGGTGCTGAGATTTGCAGGCCTTACCTAGGAGGGAGGAAACGTTCCCCACCCTGGGGCTCTAAAGTCTGGATCCCACCAGCCCCCAGGCCCTGCCTCCAGGGTGGGGTGCTTATATTCTCTCCAGTTTTTGTTTTTCAATGTCCTAGAGCTTTTCCCTGAACATCCTGGGATTAACATGTACCTGTATGGGGCAGATAGATTGCAGTGTGTGTGTGTAGGGGAAGTCTTTTCACCTGATGCCACTAGGTGGCGCTGCAAACTAACATTCAGATTCTTTGCTAGCAAGGCACCAGGGAAGCCCAAAAAAAATGTAAGGATGGAGGTACTGGGGATTGAACCCAGGGCCTCATGCATGCTAAGCATGCGCTCTACCACTGAGCTATACCCCCAGGCATCTATCTGTATATACATACATGTACACATCTGTATAGAAAGAGACAAAGCAACTATCAACAATGGGTGAATCTATGTCAAGAGCAAATGGGTGCTAATTTTATTAGTCTTTCCATTCTGCTGTAGGTTTGAAGTTTCTCAAAATAAAAAGTTGAGAAATATTTTAAAATGTTAAGAAAAAAAAACACAGTTCACAACCAAAGGATCTTTATAAAGGGCTTCGCTAGTGGCTCAGATGGTAAAGAATCTGCCTGCAATGCAGGAGACTTAGGTTTGATCCCTGGGTTGGGAAGATCCCTTGGAGAAAGGAAAGCAACCCACTCCAATATTCTTGCCTGGAGAATCACATGGACAGAAGAGCCTGGTGGTCCACAGTTCATGGGGTCACAAAGAGTCAGACATGACTGAGTGACTTAACACTTTCATTTTTTCACTTTCAGTGAAAAGTTATGTTTGTACAAATTCCTTTTTGGAATTTTTACTGGGAGCATTAGAGCAGCAATGAAAACCATTCCTACCTATAAAAAGAAATAAAGAATAGGGTGTGTGCGCACAGTTGCTCTCATGGTTGCCAAGTGGGCCTGCAGGCCAGTGAGACTAACGTTTATTACTTTTTGGGTGAAGTTTTTTTGTTTCATTTTTAATTTGGGGCCACACCCTGTGGCACATGGAACTTCCCCAAACCAGGATTGAACCCACACCCCCTGCAGTGAAACTGCAGCATCTTAACCACTGGTCCAAGAGGAAAGTCTAGTGAAGTTTTGATGTGAATATTTTTAGTTTTAAAATATTGGTAATAGGTATAAAATAGATAACTAATAAGAATCTATGGTACAGCACATGGGACTCTACTCAGCACTCTGCAGTGACCTATATGGGAACAGAATCTAAAAAAGAGTGGATATATGTCTATGTTTAACTGATTCACTTAGCTGTACAACAGAAACTAATATGGTAAATCAACTGTATGCCAATAAAAAAATTAATTTTAAAAAATTGGTAATGGTAATAGGGAATTCCCTGGCAGTCCAGTGGTTAGGACTCTGCAATTTCATTGCCAGGTCCCTGGGTCCAGGTTCAATCCCTGGTTGGGAGACTAAGATCCCACAAGCCAAGCAGCATGGCCAGAACAATCAAAATACACAAAATGTTGGAAATTAATTTAGAAAAACAAACAGATGTATAAGCCAAACTAAGCACAGACATGGCTGTTGTCTAAGAGTGATAAAGTTGTGATAAAGTTGACACCAGCCCACCAGGAGGCCCTCCCTGCCCTGAAGGGTTGGTCCTGTGGCCTGGCCCACAGAGGGCCTGCCTGGCAATGTCAGTCTGGGGACATGAGAGCATGTGATCCCCCATCAAGGAGGCCAGAGCCCCTGGGCCATGGCAGACGGGGCAGTTTATTCCTTTGAAGAGTGCCCGGGTGAATCCTAGAATGCTACAACCCCATTGTAGCATCCGTAGACACGGATGGTCTGGACATGATGAGGCCTTATGCAGGGCATCACTGGCCTTTTTGATGAAAGTGAAAGTGAAATCACTCGGTCGTGTCCGACTCTTTGCGACCCCAAGGACGGTAGCCCACCAGGTTCCTCTGTCCTTGGGGTTTTCCAGGCAAGAATACTGGAGTAGGTTGCCGTTTCCTTCTCCAGGAGATCTCGACTCATTTGAAAAGACCCTGATTGGGGTCTGGGAAAGACTGAAGGTGGGAGAAGGGGACAGCAGAGGATGAGATGGTTGGATGGCATCACTGACTCAATGGACATGAGTTTGAGTAAACTCCGGGAGTTGGTGATGGACAGGGAGGCCTGGGGTGCTGCGGTCCATGGGGTCACAAGGAGTTGGACACAACTGAGTGACTGAACTGAGCTGAGCCCCTGCTGCAGGGTGGCAGGGGGAACGTGTCCTTGGGAGGCCAGCCTGTGGCACCACCAGCATCCAGACATCCAGGATACCGCTATGTCCAGCTCCCACCGGGCCCTTGGGATGTGCCTGACGCCGTGGCGAGGACTCACCCGGTTGCCCTTGGCGGTGTTGTCCTGCGTGCGGTAGGAGACCTGTGACTTGCCACTGTCCAGGATGCGCCGGACCACGGGGATGCAGGCCACATGCTCCCCGCTGCTGATCAAGTACTCGGGCTGCTCAAAGGACACGATCCCACTGGCTGCAAGGAGTCAGGTGCCGGTCAGGGGTCTTGATCACAGTCCCCCTCTCAGCCCCCACCCTCCCCTGGCCCAGCCCGGCCCAGACCTCAGGAGTCTTCTTGTCACCCCTCACCCCTCTGCTCTCTGGGGAGGAACAGAGGGGCTGGAAAAGTCTTCCAGGAGAAGTTGACAAGGCTGGAACAGTGTCCAGCTGACATCCTGAAAGGGTCGGGGCAGAGAAGTGAGGCCAGGCAGCGGCAAGACTAGAGATGAGGGCTAAGACCAAGTGCTGGGGCAGAGCAGGCCTAAGTCCTGCGGCAAGTGGGGAGGAGGGGTCAGTGACCAGAACAGACCCTCCGGACACCGGAAGGATGGTTATCAACAAGTCCAGGTTTCCCAGGAACTAGCACGGAAGGCAAGGTGGGTGACAGAGGTGTGACGCCTTGCCCGCCCTCTAGGTAGGCCTGGGCAGAAGCAGCCCCAGGTCCCTTCTTGCTCTGATGTCCTGGCATCCTGGGGACCCATTCAGTCTCAAGTTCAAAGGTCACAGGTCAAGGAGAGGGTCGTGGGACAGCTCCGGGAGAACTCAGTACCCTCTGGTGCTTATAAGAGAAGCCCCACAATGAGCAAGCACTGTGCAGACAGGTACAGCCACAACCCCTCACAAGAGCCTGATACCCATTTTGCATATGGAGAAACCAAGGCTCAGAGGTTGAGTTGCTTGCCTAGGCCACACGGCCAGGTCCCACTTCTACTTGGATGCGAGGAGACAAGGGCCCCAGACCCCCTTTGGGCGCCCCCTGGTGGCCCGCACGCTGACCGACCTTGCTCCTTGATGATGGTGATGTTGACCAGGCGGCGGCCAAGGGTGGCGGTGCCCACGGGCACGTCGATGGCCTCCACCAGCAACTGTTTCTCATCGTCGTCCTCGGGCCGGATAAACAGAGGCACCCGCACGTCCACCAGCTCCACGCCCTCCTGGAACTCCACCATGCCCCGGGCGTCTGGTGGGGAGCCGTCAGACGGGGTCAGTGGGCCGCACGGGGGTGGGAGGTGAGAGGGAGGGGCACAGGGAGCCTGCCCACCTACCCTGGTCTGCAGTGAGCGTGTAATAGCCGGGGGCCACCTTGAGCTCATGGAAGGCCCCCTGCTCCACGTGCTTCTCCGTCAGCTTCAGCAGGGCCTGCTTGGCCGAGCGGGGAGCCATCAGCACGGTGTCCACAATGGTGTGGTCCTGTCTGGGGGTGGGGCAGGCAGGGGGGTGTCAGGCCGGCCGGGAGGCTGCCACGCATCCCTGTCCACCCCTCCTGCCGTCCTCTCTGCATCAGGCACAAGATTCCAGGCAGCAAAAAGCGGTTTCTTCAGAGCCAGACAGGCGCAGAGGCCCGGGCTGGCCCCACCACCGCCCTCTGCAGCCTCAGGGTCCTGATCTGTGAGATGAGGCTCCCTGCCCACCTCTCCCAGAAGGGCTGATGATGCCCATGTACAGGCGGAACAGCAAAGATGCTAAGGGGACAGGCCAGACTGCCTGGGTTCAAATCCTGGCTCTCTATCTTAAAACTTTTCTTTTTTACCAAACCACATGGAAATTGAACCTGGTCCATGGCAGCGAAAGCCTGAGTCTTAACTGCTGCTACTGTGTTGTGCTCAACCATGTCTGACTCTTTGTGACCCGATGGACTGGAGCCTCCCAGGTTCCTCCGTCTATGGAATTTTCCATTCAAGAATACTGGAGTGGGTTGCCATTCCTACTCCAGGAAATCTTCCAGACCCAGGGACTGAACCCACGTCTTTTGTCTCTTGCACTGGCAGGCAGGTTCTTTAACACTGAGCCTCCTGGGAAGCCTTAACTGCTGGACCACCAGGGAATTCCCCTGGTTCTATATCTTAATGGCTAGGTAACCTTGGGTAAGTTACTTAACTTCTCTGATCCTCTGTTTCCTCAACTGAACAATGGGAATAGCAATGATACCCACGTGAATAAGATAACCACACACTCAAGTCTTTAGAACAAGGCCTGGCCTGCCATCAGCACTCACAGTGCCAGGTGAGAGCTGTCTTCTTTTTCTGTCTTCTTGGTATTGAACCCCACCCCACTCTTCCCTGGGGGGTCTGGGACTCGGGGTGGGAACTGGGAAGGAAGTGTGTCACCCACTGGACCATCTGGCTGGTAACCAGCAGCGCCTACAGGATCAAGGCCTTGGGCCTCAGAGGAGCGCTGGCTCTGGGCACCGGCCGTCCCTGGCACTGGGTGGGGGCTGTTGCCCATGTGAGGCCAGGGACTGGATTGGCTCATTTCCTTGTAAGTTTCTTGTTCTCATACTGGGGCTGGCTCTTGGTAAGGGCTTCATATGGGTATCTGTTCAGTGGCGGTCCTACCCCAGGACAGACCCAGACAGCCCTCCTCTCCCATGGGGTGGAGATGATGGAGATGGAAGTGGGGATGGGGGAGGTGGGAGTTGGGGCTGGTACCACCCCACCGCTGTGTCTTTGACTCACTTTTTCCCGGCGTTGGGCTGCTGCCTGTGGGGGACAAAGTGAAGACCGTGAGCCAGATGGTCCCCAGGGCGGGGAGGGATTATCCACTTGGGAGACATCCCCTGGCGTCAGCGATGGGGGCAGCACCACCCCCCCACCCCACCCTGGGCGCCCAGGACCCACCGGAACTTGGTCTGCTGGAGGCTGTGTGCGCCTGTGATTTGTCGGTACACCTCGTTCAGCTGCCAGGCAAGGGAGGGCTGTGAGGCTCAGGCCCTGGGGGAGCCCCCGCACCCAGAGGACCTCCTGGGCGTGGCTGGGGGCGTGGCCACGGGTATGCGCAGTGGCTCTACCCTTCTGGAAGCATTCACAGTGTGGGCAGATCCCAGGGTGACCCCCCCCAGCCACGCACGTGTCCCAGGAAGCCCTTCTTTCCCACCCAGACGCATCCAGGCCCCACGGCGGCTTCCCTCTGCCATCCCGCCACCCAGCTCACGCCCGGCCCAGAGGCGCCCGCTGCCCGGGACCGACTGACTTCTTACATTCTCCTCCACCTCCTGGCGCAGCTGGTCGCATTCTCGAGTGCCAGGTTTCAGCAGGTTCTCGGTGCAGAGGCGGGCGAGCCGCAGGGACAGTCCGTAAGGCACTAGGGCAGGCGGGGAGGGGGGTCATCAGTCTCTCCACAGTGGGCACCGCAGAAGCCCCCTCCTCCAGAAGCCATGCTCGGATTGGGGGGCACTGGGAGCGTGTACCCCTCAGGAAGGGTATTATATGGCCACCCTGTGCCTGCAGCCGATACCCAGAGAAAAGAGGATTGCTGGATCCCAGACCGGGGAGCAGTGGTGAACATGCCCCAGGCCCAAAGGGCGCCCAGCCCCGGCCCTCACCCAGCTCCGAGGGGTTGATGCCCGCAGCGTGCGAGGCGAAGCCGGGCCTCTGCACGTTGTTGGTGATCTTCCACCGGACCGTGTCACGCCCCTTGAGGTTCCCGCTGCGCAGCAAGGGCGTGTCCAGGTGGTCTGAGGCCATCAGGTTCTCGCGCAGCATGTAGTGGTCTTCCTTGAAGCCCACCATGTGGCCTGGGGGACCTGGGCCTCAGTAGGGGCTGCTTCCTAGACCCTCCCCCGCCACACCCCCAGGTGGGACCCCCCCCACGACACCCCACCTCTGTCCCAGACTTGGGCCCTGCTTCCCCTCCACCCTCGCTGAAGGAAGGAGCCATCAGAGGCCCACCACCCCTGCTGAGGCCAGGCCCGTACCTCGGTTGCAGCAAGGGAGAAGGGCCAGGCAGGCCTAGGAGGCAAGGAGGGTGGGGATGAGAGCTGAGAGGCCGCCCCGGCCCAAGGAAGTCCCTCCGGCTACCACCTCCAGCCCACGGCAGTGGTCCAGAGGGGTCAGCAGTGCCTTCCCCAGATACTGGGATATCCAGGCAGTTACAGGGGCCTGGGTGTGGGCACAGAGGGGAACAGGGGCAGAGGGTACCCAAAATGCATGCCATGGGGCTCTGGTCCCGCTATCTACTCTGGAAAGTAAAAGGTTCTGTGATCAAACTCCTTTGGGGAGCACTGAATTCCTACCCCACGTAGTTTCATTATGCAAACAACTAGCTCAAAGGCTCCGATAAGCCCTGCAGAGGAGAAACCGCTTTCTCAAAAGCGTTTGATCACAGAACTCTTTTTCCCTGTAACACACACGGATACGACCCTGCGGGCTGCCATAGGGGTGCCCCTGCCCCCTTCAGCATCGCCCGCCGGGCCATGCTCACGCTCTCCTGTCTCCGGTCCTCCCTCCCAGGGAGGCGGCGGCTCCTGGTGGGCAGAGCCCTTCCTCTGTCTTGGCTCTCGTGACCCTTGGCATGCGGCTGACCCCCGGGCCAGGGACTCCCAGGAATCTGGCCACTGCTGGTTGGCAGAGGCGAGGGGCTGGGGTGGGGTGGGCACCAGAGCTGCGCAGAACATGGTGGGTTCACTTGGCCTCTGTGCCCTACAGGGACCCCAGTGGGGTGGGGACCCGGGAGCCCCCACCTTGCAGCAGGCGCAGTACTTCCAACAGAGCAGCAGCAGCAGGACCAGGAACAGGAGGAGGAAGATGAGCAGGGGGATGAGCCACCAGAAGGTGCCCGGGGGGCATTCTAGGGAGGAAGGAGGAAGAGGGGGAGGGAGCCAGTGCCAGCCCCACCCCCCACCCGGGCCTGATCGGTCACCCAGGCCCACCCCTGCCGGCCCGCCAGCTCACCCTTCCTCCTCTGCACCAGGACAGTGCTGTTGGGCCCGGGGGCGCCGTCACCCTCCACGGTGTAACTGTAGGTACAGTCGTCATCCTCGTCCCGGAAGGAGCAGTGCTCCACCACCTCCTCCGCTGCAGGCACAGACAATCAGCAGGGCACCCGACCCCAGCCCGGAGCACCTCCGGGCCTGGTGAGGGGTCCGCTCCTCACCGCGGCCTTGCTCTGGGGGCCACCCCACCCATCACGGGGTCGGGGTCGCAGGGAGAGGCCTCTCCCTGGGGAAGAATGTGAGTTCCCAGCAGACTGTGCATGCAGAGGGGGCGAAGTGGGGGCCCCCCTGCGCAGGACCGTCAAAAGTCTGCAAATCTGTGCCTGTCCTGGGCCTCACTCAGGAGCTGGGCTTCTAGAACATGTTTCTGACCCAGAGGAAAGGAGGCTGTGTGCCCCCAGGGCCCGTTTATGCGCCTTTGCTATGTTCATGGCCCTTTCCCCAGGACTGAGTGCCCTGGCCAGACTGGGCGTGCCCTCCCTGGGTCTGTGCGCCCTGTCTGGAGCCCCTCTTTGTGGACAGCCTGTCCTCAGTTTGGACTATGAGCCCCCACCCATCTCTACAGCCCCGCCCCGATGAGAGACACACCCCCACCTCTCAGAGGTCTCCCCTTGCCGAGTCCTCTTGCCTGCTCTGTACCTTTCTTTTTTTTTTTCCTTTAAATATGTTTTTTTTTATATGGACCATTTTTAAAGTCTTTATTGAATTTGTTAGAATATTGTTTCTGTTTTATGTTTTGGTTTTCCGGCCACAAGGCATATGGGATCCTAGCTCCCTGGCCAGGGATTGAACCCGCACCCCTTGCATTGGAAGGTGAAGTCTTAACCACTGGACTGAGAGGGAAGTCCGCCCTGTACCTTTCTTAAGCTCATCCACCATCTTGACCTTGAAGCTGCACTCCTCGCACGTGCGCCCCTTCTTCTCACCGGTGCCCCACGCCTGGCACTGCACGCAGGAGCGCAGGTCCTCGCAGAGGCCCAGGCGGATCTGGGTGGGCGAGGAGGGGGGCAGCCGGACACTGTGCTGGGTGGCCGCTGCCAGGCCCACTCCCGCAACCTCACCCCCTTGGGCAGCCCCCGCGGCACGCGGTCCCCGCGCCCACGCCCCGCGAGTCTGGCCTCACCGCAGAGTAGTTGATCTCACAGACGGTGTCCGTGTAGAGCGACTGTTGGTTGCAGTGGCAGCGGCCGCACTCGCAGTAGCCCCGCCCGTTACAGAGACCCTGAGGCGAGGCAAGGCCCCTGTGAGCCAGCTGCGCCCCCATCCCTGTCTGAGAGGGGGGCCCCGCCCACCGTCCCCCACGGCCTGCCTCGTGCCCAGGCCTACCCCGTTACTGTCGATGCAGGTGGCGTTGCTGAGAGGACAGTCACAGCTCAGACCTGTCCAGCCGGGCTCACACACACACTGACCCATGGAGCAGCGTCCCCGGTCTGCAAAGGAGGGAAGGCGGGAGAGGAGAGGCACATTTGCACCTGCAGTCCAGGCTGCCCACCTGGCAGAGCTGCCTTGGGAGCTGGGATGTCTCCAGCCACGGGCAGAGCCATCTCTTCCTCTCTTTCCTGGAGTTCCTCCTCTCCATTTTTCCCACTCTATTCTGCCCTCTATCTTCTGCTCTGCAGATGGAGTGATCACCCCAAAACACAAACCCAGTCGCATGTCTCCCCTATCTAAGAACCTCTGATGAGTCCCGGACAATGCAATAAGGTAAGAAAAAGAAATAAAACATACGTATTGGAAAGTAAGAAACAAAAAACTGTCATTATTTGCCAATATCAGAAATGTCCCCAAATAGCAAGAAGAATCCATAGGTAAGTTACTAGGTTTCATAAGTTAGTTGAGCAAGGTGGCTGGATACAAAGTTAACATATAAAGAGTTAGAAAACGAAATTAAAACCTCCAATGACTCCCTTTGCCCAAAGGATAAAGTCCAATATCCTTGCTGTAATAGGGGTTGACTAACTGCAGCCCGCAGGCCAAATCCAGCTCACCACCTGCCTTTGCAAAAGTGTTATTGGAACAGAGCCACACTTGTTTGCTTCCGTATTGCCTATAGCTGCTTTCTGCTACAATGGCAGAGCTGAGTAGTAGTGACAAAAACGGCTTGGCTTACAAAACTGAAAACATTTAATGTCTGGCCCTTTAAGAAAAAGTGTGGACTAGATAAAAACTGGATACATCCTGGCCTGGAATCCAATCCCCTCACACTCTGGCCTCTCCAGCAGCATCTCCCTTCCTTCCTATCTCACGACTCCGCCTGTGCTAAATACCTGTCTTTCTCCAGACATCCTGGGTTCTCCTTTCATTTCTCTGAGTGCACTGTGGAGTGGGCAGGTAAAGAGAAGAGAAGGCAGATAAAAGCAAGAATGAAGGAAAGAGTAGACCCCTGGTGGCAAGTATACAGCTGGGATTTAATAAGTATTTGGTCAGTGGATTTTCACTCAGTCTCCTCCATTTACCCAGTCAGTCCTTCCATGTGGCCCCTGTGGGTTCTGTGACCCCTGCCCAGTTCTGGAAGCTCTGGCCAGCCTATGGGCCCCTGACCTGGACCCACACTGTATTGGGCCCTGCAGGATGCATTACCCCAGGCCCTGCCTGCCTGAGATGTAGCATCTTCCAAGAGAGGAAAGATCGCCATGCCTTATAGTACCAATCCTTGAGACTGAGTTGAGTGGTACCCACCCTAGTGGGATGGGAGAGTGAAGAAGAAGGTGGGCATGGACTGGAGGACCTCAGGGGACCAGAGTCTTAAACATAAGGGTAATGTCATGCTGGCAGGGGCCTTGGGCATCAAGTTTTTGGAGGAAAGAGGTCCAGGTTGGGGCTGGGCTTGGGGGAGGCACTCAGGGAATCTGGAGGAGGGCTAGGCTTGCACACAGGGATTCTGACTCCTGGTGGGGCTCTCTCAACTTGGACTCTGATGGGAGAGCTGGCGGGGCAGGGTGTGGGCTGGGCATGCAGACCACCCCCAAAGCCCCAGGCCACCCCACTCGGGTCAGCAGCTCACCATTGCAGAGGAAGCCGGAGGTGCGGGGGCACTGGAAGTTGTCGTACTCGCAGAACTGACCCTCGTAGCGGCCTTCGCCATAACACACACAGTGGCCACACTGGCACTCGCCACGCCCAGAGCACGCCTTGTCCTCGCCCTCCCGCTGGCAGGGCTGCAGGTCGCTCTGGGAGCCGGTGGAGCAGTTACAGGTCTTGCCACTCCTGCAGGAGGAGCCAGTCACTTCCCCACTGCCCAGCAAGAAAGCTGGGCTTTCACCATCCCATTTTACAGATGAGGAAACTGAGGCTCTAAGTGGGTCTAAGTTAAGCAGACAGCAGTGCTTGAACTGAACTCAAACCTCAGTTCCCTGAGACCCTCCCTCTGTTCCCTCAAGTCATGACAAATCTGTTCAATGCCTTGAAGCTTGAAAAGCCCTTATTCTCACTATCACTCAATTCGTGACTCACTTCTGCTCAGGGAATAGGGGCCCATGGCTCAGATGTGCTATGTGTTCAGTCGTGTCCGACTCTTTGTGCCCCCAGGGACTGTAGCCCACCAGGCACCTTTGTCCATGGGATTTTTCCAGGCAAGAATACTGGAGTGTGTAGCCATTCCTTCTCCAGGATGGCTCAGACACTAAAGGTTTAAAAGGGGTGGAGGGCAAAGTCAGCTTCCCCTCTGCCCAACCCACAACCCCTGATGGCCACTGTCCTGATTCTTAAATGACTTTCCAGAGATAATCCTATATATCCAGGTATTTTTTCAAGAATTATCCAGGGTTTCTTTGGGGGCGGGGGGTGGAGGGGTGGTGTTACACTGGATGGCTTGCAGGATCTTAAGTTTCCTGATCAGGGAATGAACCCACAGCTCCAGCCATGAGAACACCAAGTCCTAACCACTGGACCATCAGGGAGTTCCCATATCCATGTTTTCAAAGTGCTTTGAATTTAATCCACCTACCAACTGGATGTGCCCCTTTCTCAGCCCCTTCTATGCCCAGCTGCCACCCCCTCCTCAGTCCGCCTCCATGGTGTGCCCAGCATCAAGAGCTCGCGGGCCCCTTCTCTGGGAGATGCTGGCATCCTGGATGCCAGCTTCACCCCCACCACACTTACCAGCCCTCGTGACACACACAGTGTCCACACATGAAGTCCCCGTGGAAGTTGCAGCGAGATGACCGCTCCTCTTTTTGCTGGAATGAAATCGTGGTGGGGTGGGTGGGGAGGGGAGGGGCAGGAGATGCTGGCCGCCGCCCCTCAGGGCACCCCAAACAGGGAGCTCTGCTTTGTTACTTGGGTCCCCGGGCAATCAGCTCACCCTCTTCCTGCCCGCACCCCCCTGGGTAGGGCCGTGGCATACCAGCTCACAGGAGCACACATCACAGATGATGCCCACATCCATCCTGAGGCCATTGGAGAAGGATGGCTTCAGATGGATGGTGCCCTTCTGGTCCGCCTCTGGCAGCTGGCATGCATGAGCCCCATCCAAGTCCTCGATGGCCCGCAGCTGCACTTGGTATGTGCCCTGCAGGGATCCCGCCTTTAGCCGAGGCAGGCCTGGCGGGACCAGCCGGGATGGCAGTTCTACCTGAAGGTTCTCGGCTCTAAGGCTTCAGGAATGTGTCTGGCCCCTGCCACCCAGCTCCCTGCCCATCCTTCCTCGGGGCTGCCAACTCGCTCCCTCTAGGCAGAGTCAGGATAACAAGAGCCCGACAGTAAGCAGGGCTGCCTTCGGCCCGCTTATTCAGCTGAGCAACCTGGGCTCCGTGCTGACTGATCTCCACTTTGCAGCTAAGCACCAGCCAAGCATGGTGCAGAGCTCAGCCAAAGGGCTGCTCCAGAGGGCTTCAAACCCAGATCTGTCCGACTCGGGAGGCCACGCTCCGGATCTCTGCTCGGGTAGACCCCACCCTGCAGGCATTATCCCCCTCCTCCCCTGTCTCGGGGCCCCCAAGGAGGCATACCACTTCCCCTCGCCGGATGAAAAAGGACCCCGTGTCCGTCTTCTGGAACATCCTAGAGGTGACCTCTGTCCGCAGGCCTCGAGGACTGTCCAGGGCCCGAATGTCCAGGTTGGAGCGGATGCGCTAAAAGGGAGCAGGCTTATCAATGACCTGGGAGGTGGGGCCCAGACCCACCCACCGTGGCCTGGCTGCCTGAGCTGCGGTCCCACCTGCCTGGAGGCCTGGGGGTCATGGGAGCAGAGCCTGCAGGAGCCTGGGGCCAGGCCCAGGGGGCTCCTCAGGGACCGCAGGAGACCCTTCCGCCCTCCCATCCTGTTTCTTGCAATCCTCTGTCATTCAGCCATCTTTCCCGCCGGCCCCCGCCACCCTCGGACCCCGCACTGGCCCTCACGTTGAAGGCTTCCTGCAGCAGATCCACGATGTTGGACGAGTCCTCCTGCAGCACCCCCAGCGAAGAGACAGGGAAATACGATGACAGCCTCTGCGGGACAGAGAGTCAGACCCGGAGCTCAGCCTCTGACGAGTGAGTGTCATCGCTTCGGATCCAGACAGGAGCTTTGGGGCTCACCCACTTTGTGGGTGGGGGACGCTCTTAGCTCCTGCCTGGTTGGGAGTGGGGTCAGAGGATGGGCACGTGACCTCCTCTTCCCACTAGGACCCATCCGAAGTTTCCGGAAGGAAGGAAAGGAGGGTGGGGGGGTGTGTCTGAGAAGTTCCATGGGTCCCTCCCTCAGCCCAGGGAGTCCAAGCCCCGCACCTCGTAGTAGCTATAGGAGTAGTTGGTGACGGCGAAGATGGGGATGATGTTGTGTTGGCCGAGCAGGCGCACCAGGGTGGGCACCGACGGGTAGTCCTGCATCTTGTACTGGGTGTAGGTGCCCGTGGGGTCCAGGTGGCACTCCTCGTCATTACGCCTCATGATGCCGGCCAGCACGTTGGCCCCGTCGGCCTCGTAGTGGAAGGCCGACTCGGTGGAGAAAACCAGCAAGTGGGTGCTGTCGGGGCGCCAGCCGATGTCCCTCTGGGGAGAGCAAGGAGGGGGGTGCCTGTGGAGCAGGCGGCCAGCTGACAGCAACGTCACAGCGTTGCTCACGGTCACGGCGAAGGCGCGCCCTAACGCGGGGCTCAGTGAGGACTCACAGCCTCCATGAGCAACGCTCAGGACAAACAGCGCCGGAAGGATGATGGGGGTGGAGAGGGGGCAGAGAAACCAGCCATGAGGAGCGGGAAATGGACTGTGCCCACAGCGGTCACCATGCAAGATGGGAGCCAGTTTCAGCTAGCTATCCCCTCAAGGTCTCAGTCAGTCTGTGAGCATCTCTCAACTGCATAGAAAAATGGACACCACGCAACGTTCAACAAAAGACAAAACAGGGACAGCAGCACGTGGCCATTTGTTTGAGAAATATACAGGGTGATTTTGGAAACCGTGTCTTACAAGAGAAAATCTTTATGAAAGCAATAAGTGGGGGGATAAAAAGGCAGAACTATAACGTGCACTGATTTCAACTACATAAGGGAACAATACATGCTGGCAGGGTATCAAGCAGCTGGCTCTGTGATGGCGGTGGAATTATGGGCAATTTCTGTTCTTTGTTTTCCAAACTGTCTACAACATCAGTGCATTATTTTTTAAATGAAAAAATTGATGTGCACGTAAAAAGTGCCCTCTTCCAGCACAGCTGGAGATGGCTATTAGCAGGGAGCTTGGCCTCGGGACACTGAAGATTCCAGAACGTCGAGGCTCAGGTCTGGCTTGCTGACCAATACAAAACCAGGGTAAGACTGCTCAGGCCCCAACCGCTAAACTTGGATTGGAACTGAGGGTCCCCCAGAGGGTCTGAGCTTGTCTGAGGGCATAGGGGCCCCAGCGTGGCACCAGAGCAGGCCAGTGGGCAGCTCTTGACCTTGTAGAGAAACACAGCCCTGGTCTAGGCCGGAAGGAGCCGCCTGGCACTCACAGTGCACACGGCCGTCTGCAGGATGGCGTCGAAACCTCCTTCGGGGGCGTCCAGGTTGCCTGAGATGCGCTCCCCCTTCAGCTTATTCCGGAACTCCTCCACGTCTTCCGTCAGGCTGATGACATTCTTGAAGGAGAAGGGGGGGTCGCTGTTGGGCCAGGGCTCCTTCAGCCTGGCAAGGTGGGAAGGGGAGTGTCAGGGAGAGGGGGAGTGTCAGGGAGAGAGAAAGTCAGGGAAGAAGACCCCCACACCCCATGCCCACCCTCCTGGGGGACCACCCCCCTTCCCCGTGGCTCATTGCAACCCCAAGATTTTCAAAGTGCCTGGGTGGAGAGGAGGTGGGCCACCTGGCCAGGACCCCCGTCCACTCGGTCACTCACTTCTCAGGCCTCATGTCCGTCTGAGGGACGCTGACTTTGTCCACGAACTTGCCAAATCCTATTGTGTAGTCGCTGGTGAGCTGCCTCAAGACCTGAGCTGGGCATCAGTAGGAAAGACAAGGGGCAGCTGAGAGTGGGATGAATGGAGAGAGTAGCACGGAAGCAGATACACTACCATGTAAAATAGTAGCCGGGGGGATTTGCTGTGTCAGTCAGGGACCTCAAACCCGGGCGGCTCTGTGACAGTCTAGATGGGTGGGATGGTGCGGGAGGTGGGAGGGAGCTTCAAGGGTGAGGGGTTGATTCATGTTAATGGATGGCGGACACCAGGGCAATATTGTAAAGCAATTATCCTTCAATGAAAAATAAACTTTTTAAAAATAAAAAAGAAGGGGCAGCTGAGCCCCAAGAACCCCACATCCACATAGGTGTTGGGGGCTGGTTTGGAAAGGAAGAGGAAGAATAACTTAATAACTTAACGTCAATGCTCTGCATGTTTGGCATCAGTTCCTGCACACAACAGCTCTGTCATTATTTACGGATGAAGGGAATGGGACTCGGGGGACTCAGAGTCAGGCATGCAGCAAATTGGAGGGGGCAGGTGGGGAGTTGGACCAGCCATCTGTCAAGCTAGGAGTTAACCTCAGCCTCATGGCAGCTGGGACCCTCCTTGTCAGGACCAGAGGAGGGCGTTTCCTGGCGGTCCAATGGCTGGGACTCTGGGCTTCCACTGCAAGGGCGCGGGTTTGACCCCTGGTCAGGGTATTAAGATCCCACAAGCCACGTGACACGGTGCAGCCAAAAAACCCAAACAGGACCAGAGAGGGTCTGGGGCCCACCCAGCGGGGCCCTCCTCTGTACTGCTGACTGGTTACTGGGGGTCTGGCCAGGGCTCTCCTCTGAGAATGGGGAGGAGTTCTTGGGGTGCTCAGAAGTCCTGTCCTTGCTTGAGGAGCGGGTATAGCTAGCCTGAGCCCTGGCCTCCCGAGCAGCTGGTGGGGGTTGGGGGGGCACCATCTCCATACCCAGGTCCTGCCCCATCTTCTTGAGGTTGTCCAGATCGTCAGACATGGAGTTGGAAAAGTCCATGAGGATATACAGGTCCATGGGGCTCTCCAGGGGCTCGAACACCTGCAGCTCGAAGCGCCACTCCTCGCCCGGCCGCAGCCGCGCCCGCAGCGCCTGGGGGGCCACCTGGCTGCGCCGCAGGGTAGTGTCGATCTGCCTTTCCTGCGCCCAGGGGAGGGGGACACCTGGCTGGAGGGTCTCTCCAGACCTAACGGAGAGACCACTCAGCTCAGCCAGGGGACCCCATAATGCCCCGTAAGCAGCCGGCCTTGAGCTTGGACGGCCCAGCCTCCCCCGAGCCCCGACCCCGGGCACCTCCGTGATTTCAAAGCTGCTCTTCATGACCACCACACTCTCCAGCCGGCAGCCGGCAGCCAGCAGCTCGGCCTGGGTGTTGCAGCGCCGTTCCTTGAATACCTGGCCAGAAGGAGATGGGTCAGGAGGGCAGGGCCCATCCCCACTGCTGTCCTAACCCAGGATTTACACCCCTCAATTTTCCTGAACCCTTGCCCGTTCTCCCATTCCCACCTGGCCCGAGGCTGGGCCGAGGGTGTGACAAGCATGGACTTGGCCAGAGCCCAGGGGTGGGGCGCGTAGGTAGGGGAGGCTGCCCGGGCTGGGCAGCAACACACCTCGTCCGTGCAGTAGGCGCAGTCCTTGTCCACGCGGATGCACTCCGTGCAGCTCTCCACCTGGGCCTTCTTGCAGCGGTTCGCTGGGGAGCAGAGCAGGGTGGACCCACTGAGATGGGCCTTACCCAGGGCCAAGCCCTTCCCTTAAGCACCTTCATTTGAAAGAGATAGCGACTCTCTCCCAAGATACAGAGGGGGAAATAGAGGCCAATGGTATGTGGTTAGCAACCAGCAGAGCTAGGTCTCAAACTGGGACTTTCCACCCAAGTCTGGAGGGAAGGAGGGTGGGGGCTAGGATGGAGGCACTGGCCCATTTGTTGGCAGGGACACCCTAACCAGCCCCGCTGCCTGCTCCTCTGGGATGGTGTGTCGTTTACCAGTGTCCCGAGTGCCGAGCCCATGCCCTGCACGTGGTGAGTTTTTAATAAATAAATGAGGTGAAACTTCAGTTTCCCCAAAGGTTGGGATAGATACCCTTTGGTTTTGTTCAGTTAAAATCACAGTGAGGACCCACTATGTGCACTAGTGGGCGGGGCTCCTGGACTTTCAGGAAAAGGTGTGCTGTCAATGTTTAGCAATGTCTCCAGTGAGGGCGGGGAAGCCCTGACTTGCAGCATTTACCAATTTCCAAAGTATAAATGTTCTCACCTCGGACTGCTCTGAGCTACCAGCCATGGCGTCCACTGACAGGTACTATTCCCTCAGTAGGCGCCCTTTGCAGACTGCAGACACTCAGAGAGCTGGTGACGATCACCTCCCTCTCCTAATTCCCATAAAGTCTCTCAACTGTGCTGTCCAAGCGTCAGCACACCCTGCAAGCGCCTGCCTTCTCTGAGTGAATGTCTTTTCCCTCCTTTAGACCAAGTCTCCTTCGGCTTCCCTAAGTGTTTGGGCCACGCAGCTCAGGATCACGGCTCCGCAGCCCTTGAAGCGGGTGGTGGCTGTTTGTTGAATGGTTGAGTGAGGGTCTGGGTGAGACTCTGAGTGAGAGCCTCTCCCCACACCCTGCTACCTTAATAAGGGCAGTGCCTTGAAAGCTGAGGCCCCGCCAAGAAGGGTGCTGCAAGGGCGTGTCCGACTCACCCATGGCCCCGGGGAAGCTGATGCTCAGCAGGGCTGCCAGCAGCAGCCTGGTCCACGGGCTGGGATGTGGCCCTGCCATCCTCCTCTTCCTGTAAAACAGCCACAATTGACACACGATGCCTGACAACCCTGGTCCACGTGTCAGCTCACTGGGTCCTGGTCAGAGCTCCACCGTTCCCATTGCACAGATGTACAAACCGAGGCTCTGAGAATGCTAGTGATGTTCCAAGGCCACCTGGCCTATGAGTGGCAGGGCCAGGGCCCCTGACCCCTCTTTTCCTCTGCCCCCTTCCTTGGCATCCCTAGAGCGGCCAGATGCCCTGCAGGCTGATGCCCTGCCAGGGAGGCCCCCGCCCTCTCACCACCGAGGACTCTGGGCTTTGAGCTTGTCCCAGTGCTGGGTCTCTTGTGCTGGGCTCCCCAGAGGGCAGACCAGGGCTTTTTCCACTCTCGCCTTTCAGACCCCCTTGGATTGGGTCAGGCTTGGCAGGGACAGGGCCACCCTAGAGGATCCTGGCCCACTTACTTGCCCTTTGGTTATGGGATACAGCCCAGGAGGAGGGGGGCCCTCCTTAGTATTTGGGGCCTGGGGAAGGGAGGACATGATTTGCTACTCAGCTAAGTTCTGTAATGGTTGCCTAGCCCATTGGAGGAGGGGTCCCCTCACCTCTGCCTGCCCCAGAGTTGAGTTGGGGGGCCCTGAGAAGATCACCCTTTCGAACCTTAGCCTGGAGCGGGATTACAAACCCCTGCAGCCCACTCATACACACACACACTGCCAGCCACCCCAGGACACCCCATCTGCCTTTGCTTCACTGTTTTTTTTTAAATGATTTATTTATTGTTTTTTTTGGCTGTGCTGGGTCTTCCTTGCTGCATGGGCTTCTCCTTAGTTGCGATGCGCAGGGTTCTCTGGTTGCAGCTCCCGGGCTCTAGGGCACAAGCTCAATAGTGTGGCACACGGGCTTAGTTCCTCTTCGGCCTGTGGGATCTTCCAGATCAGGGATTGAACCCGTGTCTCCTTCATTGGCAGGTGAATTCTTTTACCACTGAGCCAGGGAAGGCCCCTTTGGTTCAACTATTAAACCATCTAGAGTCATTCGTGAACTTTGGGGCAGGCAGTGGCATCCCTGAGAACGGTTCAAGATGAACAGCCTGCTGAAGAGAAGGGCAGGCCAGAGGCGCCTGGCCTGGCAGAGCTGAGGGCAAGAGTGACCACCCCGGCCTCTTTCTGCAGAGCCAGTCACCCAGCAGCCCGAGACTACATCATGCCTACTGGCCCTCATCCTTGGGTCCTCATTCAGGCCTTGGCTTGTGGGGCTGGCACACCCCAGGCTCTGGGGAGACCCGAGGCGCTGCAGGAGGGCATGCCTCCATCTCTCCGAGGTGGCTACCAGGAGCTCCAACACATCCGCAGGCAGTCAGCTGGGGAGGAGCCCGCCTCTAAGAGGGGCCTGGAGTAAGGGTGCCCCGAGCCAGCCGAGGAGGGGTGCTTCTTGGGGGGAAATGGTTTTCCTGTGGCCTTGGGGCACAGGCACCACACCCACAGGCTACACAATGCTGGCTGCTTCCCCGGGCCTCCCTGGGGCACCATTACACATGCAGGTACAGGCACTGCCCAGCCCAGCTCTTACTCACTCTCCTGTGCCCACAGGCCGGGCACACAATGGGTGAGTGCCCAGCATGTCACGTACATAGTCGCCACTTAATCTGCACGGGAACCAGTGGGGGAGGATGGCCTGATCCCCTCTGTCCAGATGAGAAGGGGCAGTGCAGCAGCACACCACCCCCCACATTTAACCTTCACCTTATATTCAGAGACTCTGAAACAGCAGTGATGCACACAGGAGTGTTGTTTAACTCAACTTGTGTTTAAAAAAAAAAAATTTTTTTTTTTAGGCTGAATCTTGCAGCATGAGAGATTTTGATTCCCCAACCAGGAAATGAACCTGTGCCCCCTGCATTGGGAGCATGGAGTCTTAACCACTGGACCACCAGGGAACTGTCTAAAAAGCTTTTTTGTTTTTGGCCACACTGCGTGATTTGTGGGATCTTGGTTCCCTGACCAGGGAGTGAATACAGGCAGGACCCGACAGTGAGAGCACCGATCCCCGTCCACTGGACCACACTGCATGCATGCTCAGGCCTGTCCGACTCTGTGCTGCCCCCAGACTGGAGCCCGCCAGGCCCCGCCGTCTATGGGAGTTTTCCAGGCAAGAATACTGGAGTGGGTTGCCATCTTCTCTTCCAGGGGGTCTTCCTGACCCAGGGATCGAACCCGTGTCTCCTGCATTGCCAGGCGGACTCTTTACCACTTTGCCACCTGGGAAGCCCTGGACCACCAAGGGGACTCCCTAAAAAGTTTTCAAAGTAGTCATTGGTGGGTGAAAAAATAAGATCTCACATAAGAGCTAGGACTGTGGGCTTCCTGGAAGACGTGACTGTGACGGCATGGGCAGAGCCCTTGGGACACGAACTCTCCAGGCTACTCTGGGTCCCACCAGGCGCGAGGCCTTTTCATGTAGCAGCCGGGTCCCGGAAGTGTGTGCCTGCCACCCACTGTTATCACATAGCGGCACACCCAGGCTGGCAGGCTCAGGGACACACATACTCTTAGACACACGCTATGGCCCACATAACGTGGGCTCAGTGTTCTGACACCCACCCCATGGGACCCCCGCTTGGCACGTCCGCACCCACCCTCCACGGCCTCTTCCCTCCTGCTTCCCTATCCTCTGGCCTCTCTGCTGCTCTATCACCCGCAGATTCAAGGCCAAGGAGACAGACAGACACCCCTTCCCCGCTGTCCCTACTGCTCTCCTCTACCCGCTCAGCCCCCCGGGACGGAGACCCGCAGCCTTCACTTCCAGCTGTGGCCCGAGGCAGCCACAACCCGGTCCAGCCTTGGGCTCAGGGTGTGGCGAGGCCACTGGGGAGAAGGAGGAGCTCCCACCTACAACCGACAGGGCCACCCGGGGCTGAGGGAGTGGGGACTGGTGGGGGGGGGCTGGCCCTGGAGGAGGACACAGTGGTGGGCCGTGAGGTTAGGAGGACTTCCTGGAGGAAGGGTCCCGAGCAAGGCAGGCGTGTGCCCGGCCAGGAGGAGAGGAGAGTCAGGGAGTCTCCAGACCCCAGTTGGACGGTGGCACCACCCAGCCAAATTGGAGGGCCTCTGCCCCTAGGTGGCTGCTTCTTTTTGAACCCCAAAAGGGCGCAGCCCAGGAGGCCTGCCTGCCACCTCCCGGACCCTGCCCACCACTTTCTCCCAAGCACCCACCCAACGCCCAGACCCTCCCTGCTGCCATCCTCCACCGAGGTCTGACAACCAAGCGCCTTCTCCAGCTCTGCTGGCCCCTCGGCCCCGGGGGTCCCCTGGACACACCCGGGCAGGCTGGGCACCTGCCCTGGGCGGCCGGCCCTTAGGAAAGGAAGAGCTGGAGAAACAAAAGCCGCCGGCCCACCAATCAGCTCCCCGCGGGGCTGCCCGGGGCTGGGGTGCGCACTCCCTTTCCGCTTCTCACCCGCCTCTCTCCGGTCCAGCCCCAGGAGCGGCGCCTCCTCGCCCCTCGGGGCTTCAGACTCGGGGGCCGGGCTGCCCCCAGCTGGAGGCGGCCCCTCCTAGCCCCCTTCTGGGACCGCCGTCCTTCTCCTCCAGACCCTGGGCCGGGAGCCATCGCCCCTGCCCTGGAGAGCCATCGGGTGCCCCAGACACACAACCCGACAATCAACACCGCGCATCCCTTCTGTGTGCCAGCGCCGAGAACGAACCCTGGGCTGCCCCAGGCCAGGTCTGCCTTCCCGCCGTCTTCTTAGCCTCCCCAACTCCCCAACGCACTCACCACGTGTGCCTACAGGGAGCTCTGGGCAAGGACTGGTTCTCTGAGTGTCTGCAGGCAAGCTAATTAAACCTTCTTAAAGCGAGAGTAATGCCCCTCTAGAGGTAGCACCCACCTGAGGTGGAGAGGCACTCGAAAGGTTACAGCTGATCTTGACAAGCTGCTTCACAAACCTGACACCACCACTGCCCCCGCCCCCACCCATCCTTTCTCAGGTGCTGCCGGTTAAGTGGATCCCACCCTCTCCTGTTCTCCATGACTTCAACTTGGTCTCTTTCTCTGGCCCCCCCTTGCACGAAATGCCCCCGTCTCTCCCCCAACCAAGCAGCTTCAAGCCAGCATGCTTTTGCAAACAGGGACCGGGGCACTTTGACACTAGGCTGGTCCCTTTACTTGGGGTCTTCCCACTCTCATCCAGCCTGGTATATCCTCCTTATCCTTGAGGGCCTTATGCTGATGTCACATGCTCCAAGGAGCCTCCTTGACCTCCCTGAATTCTGGACTGTGTTGTGTAGCCCTGTGGCATGTGTTTTTTGTTTGTTTGTTTGTTTTTTTTGTCATTTGCCATACTGGTTTGAAATTATCTGTTTAGGGGTCTCTTCCCCATTGCACGGTGGACCCCAAGGTTGGACACGGTGTAGCACATCTTCTGATCCCCAGCACCTAGCTCAGTGCCTGGAGCATAGCAGTTGCTCAATAAACATGTAGTCGACCCAGAAGGGATTGTCACACGCCTTCCTTAGCCTCGGCATTCTCATCTGTAAACAGGCGCAAACACCGCCAACTCTTAGAGTGACCCTAGGAGCAGCTGGGACTGACTGAGGCACCGAGGACGCCAAGCGCTCACTGCAACTGCGTGAGCCACAGGTCACCCCTTGGCCACTGCGCCCAGTCCTCTGAGTTCTGCTCTGCATGGGCCAGGGGCTCAGAGGCTGGCTCCTGGACTCGGGAGCTCTGTGGCAGGAGCCCCAGTTTGATTGGGGTACCCAGGTCATGCCCCATGGACTTAAGCTACTCCAGCAGTCGCCAGGTCCACCCTGGGAAATACAGGCTAAGGGAGCAGCCTGCCAGCACTATCCATCAGGGGATGCACTCCGCAGTGGGGGCTGCTGATGCGCCCCCAAGAGAAGGAGACTCCGGCCCAGGGGCAGTAATGCCACAGACCCCACGGGGCCCAGCAGCCCCTTCCTCCCCTCATTCCAGACCCTTTTAAAAATGACTAACAGGGGGCTTCCCTGGCGGCTCAGTGGGAAAGAATCTGCCTGCCAATTAGGAGACACGGGTTCCATCCCTGGTCCTGGAGGATCCTACATGCTGCAGAAGAACGAAGCCGGTGTACCGCAACTAACTGAGCCTGCGCTCTAGAGCCCGGGAGCTGCAACTACTGATGCTCGAGCACCCTGGA